ATTTAGCCTATTTTCAATAAAATCAAACTTTTCTTTTTGCCGTTTTTAATCAAGTTTTTTTTTTGGAATCTATGTGCAGTTCTAATTTTCGCATATACTTCTGCTTGAAAATTTAACAAAATGTTGTGTAAATTTAAATATGTCAGGATGTGATTTATAAAAACATTCGTTAAATTTCGAGTGAAATGATTCACATACGTTTGTAGTAGGGGAAAGTGGGGGAACCGTGCGCGGTGGGGAACGGTGCGCACCATTAAAAATTCAAATTACGCGGCATACTGAGAGTCCCCTCTCCGAACAGGCTTAAGCGGGAACATGCACAGAGTCTCTGAAGCCATTAACTTGCCACTGCAGTTGAGTTGTGTACTTAGTGAAAGGCGAAAGTGTGCATTTGAGGTTTTTGTTACTATTTTCCACTTGCACAAATTAAGACGGTGAGTCCGTAAATCTTAACTACTTGTTTTGAAATAATTATATTCTTAAAGAATATCATCTGCTGCATATATGCACACCATTTGGTTGCATTTAGATAAGTAATTTTTGTAGGATGAATGTAATTACGTTTTTAAACCATAGTGGGGTAACCGTGCGCGAAAATGCGCACGTGTTACCCACTAATCAATTAAATATGAAGCAATATTGTTATCGTTTTTGGGTACTAAAATCCGTCTTTTATTTTCAGATGGCCACGAAATTACGTTCGAAAGACTGAAATCCATCAATATAGTGATGAATTGCTGGAGGACTGCACTGAATGCAATTAGAAACGATGGAGGAAAATACGAGAAGTTGGGAGGGTCTTTTGGTATTCCTGAATCAACACTCAGAAAAAAGCTTTCTCTAAATCAACTAAAAATCCCCCATCTCGGTAGAAAGGCGATTTTTACAGCAGAAGTGGAAGCTGAATTAACCCACTATATTCTGACAACTCGCAAAATTGTTTTAACGGCGTAAACGCCCCGACAACTGAGGCAGTTAGCGTTTAAATTATGCTCAACAGAAAAATATTCCAAATAATTTCAATAAACAAACTCAGTTAGCAGGCAAAGATTGGTTGTATGGGTTTCTCAAGCGAAATCCTGAAATATCATTGAGACAGCCTGAGGGGACTAGTCTTAATCGAATTGCTGCATTTAATGCGGACGAGTTTAAAACTTTTTTATTCAAATCTCGAGAAAGTTTTTACAAAAATTTAAATTTGAAGCAAACAGGATATATAATATGGACGAGACGGGTGTAACCACTGTACAGAAGAAGTGCCCGAAGGTTTATGGACGTAAGGGTGTAAAAAAGAATGGAGCTGCTATTTCAGGTGAAAGAGGGAGGACCATTACAGCCGTATTTTGCATGAGTGCCACAGGAAATTATATCGCGGCCCATGCTGATATATCCCAGAAAGAGAATGGCTCCTGCGCTGCAGAAAATGGGCCAACTGGTGCTAACTATAAATGTTCAAAAAATGGATGGATGAATTCTGAACTTTTTCTTGATTGGTTAATGCACTTCGAAAAACAGGCAAATCCCACTTTAAATGACCCGATTCTCCTTATCCTTGACAACCATTCAAGCCATATATCCATAGAGGCATACGATTTCTGTAAGTCAAATCATATTCATCATGGTGTCCCTTCCGCCACATACTTCCCATCACCTTCAACCCCTTTGACCTATCCTTCTTTGGTCCTTTAAAAAATGCGCTATACAGGGAGTTGATGATATTTATTATAACTACAACAGGCCATGAAAAGATCACTGAATATGACGTAGCTGAGCTGTTAAATAAAGCGTTCGTAAAAGTCGCATCGATGGAGAAAGCAGTTTCGGGATTTCGTTTCTGCTGGAATAAGGCCATTTGACCCTAACAAATTCAACGAAGATGATTTCGCTCCGGCCAACGAAATGAGACAGTTTGTAGTAGAAGGTTCTCCCGAACGTAGCGCTAATTTATTAACACTTGCATCTCAGCCAAATCTACAAAAAATTCCTAATCCGGCAACACCCGAACCTAGTGAAAATTCAGACGGTGAAGATAGACAGACAGCTCATATGCCAAAACAACAGCAGCAGGATCTACCTATTCAAGGTCATCTACCATGTACATCTACCGCTGAACAAGATCATCTACCATCTACATCTAAGTCTGGACACAACCATCTACCATCGACATCTACATTAAATAATTCATTCTTCCAATTTGCACCTATTCCAAGGAGAAAAGAAAAAGGAAGAGTAAAAACAGTGTCTCGTTCGAACACAACACTCTGAAATATTGACTAGCACACCCCTAAAAGAACGATTAGAACAAGCTCAAGCAAAGAAAAGGGAAAAAGACGTGAAAAAAAACATGAAATTAAAAAGTGTCAAAACATTAGGAAAGAACAATATTAAGAAAGATAATAAGAAAATGAAGAGGGCTCCAACACCTGAACTTGATGCACAAGAACGTGACGAGGAAGATGAAATCGAGAATGCTTATTTCTCGATCCCACCTCACTCCTTCTACGGAACCACTACAAGAAAAATAACGGCAAAAGAGAATGTTGCAAAAAAAGTAAAAAAAAAACGCATATGTCAGTCTCCGGAAATTAAAAGAGGGAGAAATAAGAAACCAGCAACGCCTGAATCATCAGAGGTATCTGACATAGACGATAGTGACATTTGTGACGATGATGAAGTAGACGATATCAACCCCAACTATGTTCCATTTGATGCAGAACCTGACGTGCGGACTGAATTTATGTGGCATATGTGGAGAACATGGAAAAAAGCGAACTATGGTACCGGTGTGTTGCATGTGGCTTATGGAACCACGCGGCATGTACCGGTAAAGATGCCCCCGAACAATACATTTGCGACTTTTGTCAAGGTTAAACAGATACCTACTTAACATTATAGGTATATAATCACTCGTACAATAAATATTTGTTCTTGCATGTGAATTTGTTTTTATACCACTGTATTATTAGTACTTGTATATTCCAAACTACTGCGCACTGTTCCCCCCCTGTGCGCACAGTTACCCCATGGGGTGGGGAACGGTGCGCAAATGCAATTTATTTTACTTTTTCTAATTATATATGATTATGTTAAGAAATTCAATATCTATTATAGTGCATACCTGAAAGTAGAATAATTAGGGTATCAGATAACGTTTTATTATTTTATTTTTTATGTTTACAGAGTTGACCACCACAACGATTCTCGCTTAGGTGTCGCACCATTCCCCCACCTTCCCCTAAATATAAGAGATGATGAATTTGAAGCCCATATGTAAGGTGGAAATGTTGAATCTTCCGTTAAATAATTATCAATTACGTAATCACAACATTGCAAAACTCTGTCATCTTCTGGCATAATATTAAAAAGTTTCATCAGAAAAAAAGTCACCAACATCATTTGGATGTAAATAAGGAATGCCGAAAAACAATTTTAAATATTTTCCAATAACAGTTTGATTTTTATATTCCGAGGACAAATCTAAATTTGAATTTTTCGGTACCAATTTTGTGTTAAATGAAATTTGCAACAAAAAATAATAATGTCGGGCCACACTAACTTGGCTGTCATTTGAATTGCTATTTCAAAATCAGAAATTATTCGCTTCGGTTTGAAATTTAAATTCAAATCTGTACATATTGTTATTAATGTATCAAAAGTACTTTTGTACGATTGCTGTGATTTATTTGGTAACAAACAAAATACTAGAGGAACATAAAAACCATTTTTTGTAGCCATGTATAGTAAACAGCTGACAAAAATATTTAGAACAGTATTGAAAAGTTCTATCTACATACAAAGAATCTACATTACACAAAAAGTAAAGATTTGTGAAACACAACTAAAAATTGCGGAATTATTTTTCGTAGATAATAAAAAGATTTCACCTGTATTTGTTTTTAAATTTAAGTTCACTAACACTGTAGAACTTCCTCCTGTGACTTGGGCAATGATGGTGTGGACAATCTTAACAGGTTTTTCACAATATCTTCTACAGCTTTTCTCTTTGTAGAATTACTAAAAATTTGCCGGTCTAGGTGGATATACTGGAGCATGATTATGCTCCGATGCTTTTTCAAGAATAACATAATTTTCATCACCTTCCTTTGTGTACACTTTTTGTTGACAGCCTTTTTTGGTGCATCGCCATCTAACTTTTCCATCTTTGGAGACATGGGCTTTTGAATATTTATATTCATTAATTATTAATAACAGTTCTCCTCTTTGACTAAACATAGTCGTTGGATTCGCCATTTAAATGTTAAACACAAAACTATACAGTAATACTTGCAACTGAAGTGAATAACTGAAAATATTAATATTCTTAACTTTCAACTATGATCAAATTTGGAATTTCCGGTCATTAAGACTTAATCCCCAACTTTCTCGGCGATGAGGCAGTAGGTACTTCGGATTAAAGGCCCCAGGTAGTTCGTGGGGCAGTTCGTAGTCGCCCATAAATACGTTTATGTAAAAGAAAACTAAAGTATTTTTATGTATATTTGGGTATGATAAGCAGGCAACTTCAACTTATTAATCCGTGAGGTTTTATTATGCAATTTGCAATTTATTTAAATTTTGCAAATTAATTTAAGTAAATTCTAGTTGTTTTTGTGATTTTCTGATTTTTGTAAGCTTTATCCATAAAATTGTACAATTTTTCGTGGCAATAAAGCTTATTTTCTACTTTATTCTATAGCATCCAGTTAGTACTCGGTGTTTAGTCCTTATTATTTTGGATCTGAATGATTTTATCCATGTTTTAATAGTGCAACAAATTTTAAAATAATTCATTATTTAACGATTTCAAAATTTTGGAAATAATTTGAAAACACAAATCCTCAGCCTTTTCAAATGAATTTAGTTGATTTTTCCAAAAGAGCATACCTCCTGATGGATGTATATTATTAATAGATTTACTTGATTCTGCTACATGTATATTAAAATTGATTACATTTTTAGCGGTGTCTAAAATACTACACTTTGGATACAATTTTGATTACCTAGTCCCCTCTCCAAAATTTCCAATCAATCAAGATATGAGCGTTGTCATTTTGTATATAAGCGTTAGGTAATAAGATGTTTTACACAGTACACAAAAACTTAGATAAGATGATTCTGATACTGTTTGTGTTTTCCGTGATACTATTTAACGACGCCAATTCCCTATGTCTTAAAAATTCGATAACAACCGCAAGTGGTCTACATGCACCCAAAAACGGTACTTTATGTTCTGGTCAACTGATCTTTGAGGACAACTTTGACTGGTTGGACGCATCGAAATGGGACCATGAACAAACCTTAACTGGTGGTGGAGTAAGTATTAATTATGTTATTTAATTTTGCTTTTTAAATTGTTCTTGTTTTATTAATATTTGAAATTTGAATTTTATAAATAAAAAGAAATTAATTTTATAATTTTAAATTTCTTTGTAGAATTTAGTATTAAATCGTTTATTTTTAATTAAAAAAATTTAAAAACATTGAAAAATTTTTAGACTGCATATCTATTTTTATACTTATTGTAATTAACCAGTGCCGGCTGATTGACAATTTTTTCCTTGGGACTGCTAATTCGACAATACAAAAATATAAATAGGTGCTTCACAAAAGCCTTTATCTATCCACCTTATGCTCATGAACTTATAACTTAAACTTCTTACATTTCTCAGGTACCAAATGTTCCTTTTTAACATAGAGGGACTGTTAAGTATTATACGTTAAGTATTATATGAACAGTACATTTCAAAATTTATTTTATTTACACTACATCTCAACAGCACGCTCAAATACATCAATTACCATTTCACTCTGCAATAATAAAATTTAAAAAACCCAACTTCCCATACATATCTGCTTGCCATATTCCAGGTAACAAATGTTGAAAAAACATAAAGGGACTTTTATCAAAATCTTTAGTTCACCACCACTGAATTCAGATATCAGGTGGTTGCTTACCAGTACCCACAAAATTTTTACCAAACTTTTAAATTTCCCAACGTAATTTTAGGATAAATTCATAGTTCTAACTACAACATATTGATGTGGTACTACTGTTATTATTATTCTATTTTAACATATTCAATTTTTAAATTTTGCTGACTACTGTCATATTCAGATAAATACCTCAAGTTACCATGACTGCTTTGTTCCGACTTCAATCCTAACATGTCATTATTGTCATTTCAATTAGTTGCTAATCAACAAGTCCTCGTAAAATTCAACAAAAAAAAGTGTGAATATAAAATCCCTCCTCGTCTTTATTTCGTGACTCATTGTTAGGCCGTGGAGATAGAAACAGCTCTACAGTCATGTAGAGTTTTTTAATCAGATTCTTTATTTGATCTGCCATCGTGGTTGTAGATATTTCCACTCGGTCTTGGGCCCTTTAACTTTCTTTTTATTACCAGTAATTCCATGGTGTACATTCTTTTAGCTATGTGGCCGAAGTAATTTAGGTAGACTCAGTTTTACTTTTTCTAAGAGCTAGTCTTTAATATTAAAGCTCTTCCAGCATTGACAGGTTGGTTCTATGTTAATGTCCATGAAAGACGTAGACCAACATTTCGAAGGCTTCGATCTAACTTCTGCTTCTTCCTTCTTATATGTTATGCTTTATAGCCTGTTTCTTCTTTTAATATTTGATTCCTAAATTGTTTATAATTATCGCACAATATTTTCTTGGTCTGCCGATACTTTTTCGTCCATTTAGTGACGTATCTCGTGCTATTCATACTATTCTATGTCTTCTATATTGCATGATCTTCTTATGTTTTAGTTTTTCTTCCTATTCAACAGACTTTTCACTGATATTCTTCGAAGTATTTTCATCTCTCTTGTTTCTAGTATTCGTTCCGTTTTAAATGTGTAAGGTCTTGTCTCCGACATATATGTTAATATTGGTCTAATTGCTGTTTTATAGATTCTTGTTTTTGTGTTTTGTCTTAGGTGTTTGTTCTTCCAGATTGTGTCATTAAGAGATCCCGCTGCTTTTCTTGCTTTTAAGTTTAGTTGTCGTACTTCTTCTTTAACATCTACTACATCAACTAGTTATTCACAGTTATCTAAACCTTGCTTTCTGCTTTATTATTTTCCCATTAATTTCGATTTTACATCTTAGTGGGTATTTAGATATTGACATAAATTTTGTTTTTTCTTTCTGATATTATCATATTGTATTTCTTGGCTGATGTATTAAAGAATTGGATATTTGGATTTCTTTGTTTCATGTTTTGCAACTAACCATGACATTTACGTACTACTTGTATTATATTTCGTCCATTATTATATTAAAGAGAAGTGGACTTAATGAGTCACCCTGTCTGACTTCTTTTGCTTTGTTCTGATATACACTATGTTAATTTTCCATTTATCTTTGCCTGTATTCGATTATGCAAGTTGATATTTTCGATGGTTTGTATTATATTGTGACCTTTTGTGAGCTTTTCTGTAACTCATCTTAGTAGAAATACGGCGTCTGCGCAGGATCTTCCGGATCCGAATCCTTGTTGTTCATCTGATAAAGTTGTTAGTTTATTTGTTTTGTTGATTAAGACTTTTGTAGTAGGCTAAAGTGCGGTGTTCAGTAAAATTTAAATCTCTATAAATGTTGGGGTACTTTTTTATCCCCTTTCTTGAACATTGGTATTATTATACTGTTTTCCATGCGTCTGGTATCTTGTTTTTGTTTTTGTATAAGTTTTGTCATCTCTAGGGTTACACTTTATCCGCCGTGTTTTAGAAGCGCGTTGGTTATTCCGTCTGGTCCTGGTGACTTTCTATTTTTGAATGAATTTATGGCTATTTCTACTTCCTGAAAACTGATTTCTATTTCGTGTCTTAATTCAGGTACGTTATTGTGTTGATTATTATTTTCCTTTCCTTTAAACAATTCCGTGAAGTATTTTTCTTATTCGTTTGCTGGTATGTTATTGTATTTCTTCAATTCTGCCATTTCTTTACGTTGGTTTCTTATAAATCTCCATATTTCTTTTATGTACCGTAGAAGCCACTTTCCACCCTTTTTGTAAACTGTTCCCAGTGTTCATTTTTGTTCTTTTTACCAACTGCTTTGTTTCATTTCGGCAACCCGTAGCCCTCTCTCACCAGCTGCTACTGTTATTAACTAGTCTGTCTAAATGTTGATAATATTGTGAATAAATAATTAATTAAATAACTCTTCCACTACTTCCGATTCTTTTTAAATTCTATTAAGGTTGTTATTTACTTGGTATTATATTCACTTTTAACGTTGGTATCAATTTAGGGTTATCACGATGAGCGCCAATTGTGAAAAATACTACGACAAAGGAGAGTTCTATTGCAAAGGACAATTAAGCGATGTTATGGAATACAATTGGAAAGTCCAATAACACTTTTTAATACAACATACAAACTGTAAAGATAAAGAAGATAATAATATAGTATGGTATTTTTATCGGGAAGTTCCTTTCGGATTGTTCCGATTTAAAAAATCAGAAGTATTTCTAATTGTCATATTTATTATCAGCTAATTATCGATTACTGTCTTCCAGTGGTCCGACATAATTCGAGTGTTTGATATTCAACAATTCCAGTTGGAATTAAACGTGAAATTTAAATTAATAATTTTAACAATAATTTTTACTTTCTAGAATAATGAATTTGAATGTATACAGATGACAGACGTAACAGCTTTACGCAAAACGGCCAGTTACATATCAAGCCTACTTTTGTTGCAGATGAATATGGAGAAGATTTCTTATATTCTGGTACCATCGACATTGGAGCTAGGTTAGTAGTTTTATGAATTATATATAGATATATGAGATATGAGATATATTTTTATATAAATAATATATTAAGAATACAAATACTTTAGCTACGTATAAAATTAGTTAACTAATGATAACCGAATAGACCAAATGTCTCGAATTTATTGTCTGTGTTAGTAAGATTTGCTTTAGAAAATTACGACAAAGAATTATTCTTCTTCAACTGTTCCATATAATTAGTTTTTTTTGGTATTTAAAACAACTTTTTTTACTTATTTTATTATTAAAAAAAAAGAGGTTAATCTTTGTAAATGGGTATATTTATTTAAAAAAACCCTTAAAAGGGCCACATCAATAAAACAAACGTTTTCGGACCACACAGTCCATCATCAGGTTTTTAAAATCGAAAAATGCCTAAAAATAAGTATAAACCATTTAGTTAAAACAAACGAGATTGTGAAATTTTGACTAAGGTTGAAAAGCAAAAAATGGTTATACTTACTAGGTCACAATGCCTGAGCCACCAAAATACTAGGGTAAAAACCCTTTAAATTACATTTAGTTATGAATGTTATTATTCTTTTTGGTTCATTACTAATATAGACAACTAAAACATCGTGACCATATGCAAATAATTAGTCAGATACATGTTATAAATAATCCAACTGGCCCTTAATGAAAGTTGTCAGTCTGTGTGACTGTTTGTCCATTCGTTTGCTTGTCTGTCCGCCTGTGCAATAACTCTTAAAGGATAAATCCTAGAAACTTTAAACTTGGTACATAGGTTCATCTAGGTTCATAGGGGCCTTACTTAACAGTACATATGTCATATTTTTAACTAGAAATCAGCAATTTTTAGTATTGACTGAATATCAACTTCTACATTAAACATGTCCTTATCCGTAAATGACTGGTGGAAAGCCAAAAGGAAAGTTGTGGTGCAAGTGAGAGAGGAAGTGCTAGGAAAAACATCTGGTAAAGGGTCTCCTAAAGACAAAGAAACTTGGTGTTGGAACGATGAAGTGCAACAGTAGGCTACAAAGAAGAAAGAGGGTAGAAAAAAGTATGACACGTCTAAAAGAGAGAAAGAGAAGGATATGTACAAGGTAGCAAAAAGGAAAACATAGCACGCTACTACCAATAAACAGCTGTATAAAGAGTTGGAAACACCCTTGGGAAAAGGTTAAACAGCAGTGCTACAGCAAGGGACAAGTCATCAAAAGACTTGACCTACGTGCGGCAGATTAAGAGTGCGGATTGAAGAGTCTAAAGAACCGATGCTACAATATAGCAAAGATGGCATGAATACTTTAGAAAGTTGCTAAATGAAGAACACCAGAAGACAGACAGACGATGTGGGATCCCAAATGGACCCGGCTACATTCCACATCAAAATTAATGAAGATAAAAGAACTGAAAAAATACACTTTGGTATTAAATAATGTGATAATATTTTACCAAAATTCTCCACCTTAGCATTGAAAAATGCACTCAAACACCTAAATTTAAAGACAAAAAGTATATGTTGATAGAAACTAGAACAACTATTGAAAAAATAAAATGGACAGTCAAATTAAATAGGAATGAAAATGAATCTTCAACATATCTAAATAGTGATTTAATTTACAAATTTATCTCATTGTTGACAACATCAGTATTGAAAATGTAGATCACTGTTTATATCTTGGATCTTAAATTTTGTTTTGTAGAATGTTCCAATGGTATCTAGAGCTTATAGAGTATGCCAAGTGTATACATCTTATCAGTGACTACGTACAGATTTGAGACCTTGACCTTTACCAAAAAAAAGTTAGAAAAAAAAATTATTGATGTCATAAAACATATAGCAGGACACAAATGAAAATGAGTTGGGCATTTAGATAACGCTAAAAAATGGACGCAAGGAATAACAAACTGAAGATCAAAAAAATACAAAAGTAAACTGTGCAGACCACAGAAGAGGTGGATGGTTAATATCATCGTGGACAAGCAATGGGTGGGAATTGCTAAGAGTAGTCATTAATGAAAACGGCAACAAGGATGACAACAAGTCTGGAATTGTTTGGTCCTGTCATAAGAACTATGTGGGATAAAGGAAAGAGTTGTTAGATATGTTATAAATTGAAGGAAAGAGAACCAGAGGAAACTCGAGGAGAAAATGGATAGACTGTGTGAAAGAGGACTTAAGAGATAAACGTTTAAGTAAAAAGGCGCAATAGATAAAAATAAGTGGCGAAGAAGTGTAGGGAACAGCCACCCTTAAAGCAGAAGTCATCAATGTATACAAATGAAAGAGACCTATGTCCACCAATGGACGAGATGAACATGAGCTGAAAAAAGTTACCAAACACAACTATTTTTTATTTGTTATTCTATGTGAATCCCAAGTTAACCAGGAGTCGAGTGGGTTGAATCTTTGGAAAAGCATGTACGGCAACCCAACAATTAACTATGAACTATTATTTTTAAGTGACATATATTATTTATTCGTCAGAACTTTTTATAGTTTTATGTAATACTCATTGTTAAATAATAATCCTTTTTTATGCCCGTCTATTATCTCTCATAAGTTTCCTGAAATCAGAGTCATATATATATATATATATATATAATATATATATATATATATATATATATATATATAATATATATATATATATATATATATAACGCTGTTTGCTCCTATATTAAAACCATTTTGTGAATGGTTCCGTATTTTTTAGAAAGATTGGTTTTTGGACAATGTATGTGGAATTAAATTCCATTTAAACGCTTTTCATGATAAAAACTTTATTTATCTAGCTCTAATCTTACGTATCTGTATTTATATAATAATAGTTGAGATAATTAAATTGTGTTTTTAATTATTTTAGTTTTAAAAAAAACGACTTTAATAAACCTTGATTATATAACATCTTTTGTATTTTAGCTGCACAGGTAGCGACAACGAAGGATGTAGAAGAACAGGTTCACAAAATGCCATCGTAAATCCCGTAAAAAGTGCTCGTATGAGGACCTTAAACTCATTTTCATTTAAATATGGTAGAGTTGAAGTTAACGCTAAAGTTCCTGCTGGAGACTGGTTATGGCCAGGTATGTGTTAAAAAAAGTAAAAGTAAGGTGGTAACGATATACTATATTACATCGAGCAAAATACAGAAGAGGAATAAAGTAGGGGAGCAAACTATTGTAGACATGAGATGAAGTGCCATTTTGAGAGGACACATTAAAGAGTGGAGGAAAGAGAGTCTCTTTCCTTGTTTAAGAAATCAAATTTACAGACTTTGCCAAATTGCCTGAGTTTGCTTGGTTCGTTGTAATCTGTTATAATGTTGTTTTCTTTTATGTTTTTGATTATAATTTTTTTTGGACTCAAGTTTTCTATTTTGTTTATTAATTTTGTATAATTTCTCATTATATTTTAACACTTTCTTTCTTCCATCATATCCAGACTTTCTCTTGTCTTCAACCTTTCTTTGCTTTATCTTTTTACTACTTCACATAATTTTTCAAGACAATTAGTATAATTTGGTTGATTCTTGTTAGATTTGTGAATAAATCTTCTTCTTCTGGTTCCTATCCGTTTCGGATGTTGGAAATCATATTGGCAATCATAACCTTGCTCGCTGCGGCTCGAAACAGCTCCGTTGAGGTTTTCTTAAACCATGTTCTTAAATTCCGCAGCCATGATATTCTCCTTCTACCGGGTCCTCGCTTACCTTTGACTTTACCTTGCAATATAGACTGTAGCAGGGAGTAACGGTGCTGATTTTTCATAACGTGTCCCAGATATTGCAATTTTATGCGTTTGATCGTAAACACAATCTCTGGTTCCTTCTTCATTTTTCCTAGAACTTCCTTGTTCGTGATCCTTGCTGTCCATGATATTCTCAGCATTCTTCTATAAAGCCACATCTCAAATGCTTCAAGTTTTTTAATAGTGGTGTCTGTAAGCGTCCATGCCTCCGCCCCGTACAACAACACAGAGAAAACATAGCATCTCAAATGTCTCATTTTTGTATCAAGGGATATGTTGTGACTTTTGAAGATGGCGCTCATTTTGTTAAAGACCGTTCTTGCCTTTCCTATGCGGCACTTTATTTCCTGTAAATTGCTCCACTGTTCGTTAATAATAGTTTCCAGGTAACAATACTGTTTTACTCGCTCTATCTGCGTAACATTAATGTATAGATGAGCCCCTTTTATATTCTCTTTGCTGATAATCATTTGTTTCGTTTTGTGGTTATTAATTTTTAGTCCGTACTGTTGACTGTACTCGTTTATTCTGTCCATTAGCCTCTGAAGTCCCTCTAAACTATCTGCTACCACCATGGTGTCGTCGGCATATCTAACATTGTTTACTCTTTCACCATTTAGAACGATGCCTTCGTCTATTCCGTAAAGAGCCTCTTTAAAAATTTTTCTCTGAGTACATATTAAATATCAACGGCGATAGGATACATCCCTGTCTAACTCCACGTAGTATTTTTATGTGATCTGTTTCTTCTCCGTTAATTTTCATGTATGCGGTCTGATTCCAGTAGAGTTCTGAAATTATTCTGAGGTCTTTGTCATCCAGGTCTGCCTCTTTTGTGTGAAGAAATAGAAAAATAAATTTATAATATTTAAAATATTTTAAATTTGTTTTACATTATTAATATATTTTTAGCAATCTGGATGTTACCAAGTAAATGGGTTTATGGAAGTTGGCCAACATCTGGAGAAATCGACATAATGGAAAGCAGAGGAAATCGTCAGTATTACTCAACCAGTGGACAAAACGTTGGAACTCCATTAGAAGCTAGTACTTTACATTGGGGACCCAATCCACAAAACAACAAATTCATGAAAACTCACTGGGAAAAGACCTCATGGAACGGCGGATGGGATAATGCTTACCATAGATATCAAGTAGAATGGACTCCTGAACATATCAAATTCTCTGTCGATGATCAAGAGGTTGGAACAGTAACACCCCCAGCTGGAGGCTTCTGGCAATACGGTGATCTTCAACCATCTGGATTGCCAAACCCATGGGCAGGTGGAAGTAAGATGGCTCCATTTGACGCCGAGTTTCATATTTTGATTAATTTGGCTATTGGAGGAGCCTATTTCCCTGATGATGTAGATAATAAGTCCGGTAGAAAACCATGGTCCAGTTCTCAGCCCTACCGTGAGGGTATGACAACCTTCTGGCAAGCTAATCAACAATGGAAACCTACTTGGAATTTGAACTCAGACGACTCTCATCTTAAGGTTGACTACGTTAGAGTTTGGGCATTGTAATTATTTAAAAATAAAATAGGTTATATAATAAAATAAACTAAAACATACCATCGTGTGTCCATCACTAAATACCTCATATCCTAAGATCAATAATGCCTAAGTGACATGTTTATACATATAATCTTAAATAACCGTTTGGTTGGTTGAGACACAGCTGTTTTTGGCTTTTCAATTTAAAATTGGTATCAAAAAATTATTATGTAGAATTCTTTGTAGGTCATACATGCAGAAACCTATTAAAGTTGACAAACTTTTCGATTAAGATATTTGCGAAGGTGTTAGACACACACAATCATACAATATCATTGTAGTATCCACCAATAACAGCTGTGTGCAAAAGGACTTGAATTGAAATCTGTGATAGATAAAGTAGTGCGGACAGTTAATTTTATATGCGCAAGAGGCCTGAATCAAAGGAGTTTCAAGCATTTCTGTCAGATGTAGGTTCAGATAACGAAGACACTGTGTACTTCAGTCGCGTTCGCTGGCTGATCAGTGCAACCACATTTGAGCGATTATATTTGTTGCTTTCTAAAATAAAGATTTGTCTTGACAAAAGGATTTCAAGAAATTAGTTTTTTATGTGATAAGCAGTGATTGGCTGGTCCGGTTTTGCTGGATGGTATAACTAAATGTCTCTTCAATCTTAACCTAAAACAATTGAAAGGATCAACTATATTTGCAGCTTTATGAACATTTTTAAGCTTTTACTAAGAAGCTCATATTATTGGAGAAACAGCAATTTGTTCATTGGGGCCATATATATTCAGAAATTCTACGGTATTCACTGCCTTCCCTTACTCAATCGTTTCTATCTCTCTCTGTTGTCCCATTTTCCATCGTTTAGGCCTCTCTTACTCATGGCGCCGTCTACTTCGTTCTTCCATGATCTTCGAGGTCGTTCTCTTTTCCTCCTTACTATGGGGCTTCTAACATTTCCATACCACTTTAGTATTTTTGTTCTATATTAGTTTCGGATTGCTGTTCTTGTTTGTCCTAATCTTTACTTAATTTCTTCCTTCGTTGTTGCCTTTTTGGTGATTATAAACCCCAAGTATTTGAACTTATCCTTTCCTTTAATTGTTGTCTTATCGTCAATCTGTAGATCTTCTCTGTCTTCTTCACTTGTAGATAGGTACCCTGTTTTCGCGAGGTTAATATCTACGCCAGACTTGGTATATTCTTTTTGTAGTTTCTTCATTATGTAACTGAGGTCCTGTTGGTCTTGTGAAATCATTACTTGATCGATACTCCAATGCCTTCGCATTTTCTTTTCCATGCTTTTTCTAATTATATTTTGAATAGGGTTGGAGATGTGAAACAACCCTACAGGATTCCTTTTGTTGTGGTGAAGTCTCCTATGATTCTTGTTTCCATTTTATTGGACACTTTATTTCCTTTATACAGAGCTTTTGTAGCTTCTATGAGTTCCTAGTATTCTGTATTTCTAATTTGTACATTGCCTCCTATAGTTCTGGCCTTGGTACAGAGTCATACGCTTTTCTCAGGTCCACAAATGCCAAATATATATATATATATATATATATATATATCTATATATATATATATATATCTATTTTTTGCTTTTTTGTTTTTCAACAGTTGTTCCAATGTGTATATGTGGTCTATGAATGATCTTCCTGCCATGAAGCCTGCCTGATCCTCCCGATTTTGCCTTTTATCGCTTGCTCTATCTTTTCTCGCAAATAATCTTCCTCTTGATGATATTACGCTTATTCCTCTATCGTTTTCACATCGTTTTCTATCTCCTTTTTAAATATAGATGTCATATATGCCTCCGTCCATTCCTTTGGGAGCTGTTCTCCATTTATGACTTTCTGAAATATCTATCAAGAAATCAAGTACGTTTGATTAATCAAGTATGCGTCGTTGTTATAAAGACTAAGGAATGAAATCCGTAAAATAGTTTCGAAACACAATTCAGATTTCTGCTTATAATCTGAGCCTTCTAAAAATTACAAGGCAAACAGACGTTGATAAAAAGATGTTAAAAAAGGGACATGGGGAATCTAAAATTTGCATTCCACGACATGTCTTTTACAACTAAGCAGAAATCCTTAGCGAATTGTGTTTATCGTACTCACACAGAGTATATCCGAATAAAATGAAAAAGACAGCAAATATTTGATTTCACGCAAACAACTCCTATGTATCTGTTGATACGTATTTCGACCTAATGGGTCTCATCATAACAGTTATTCATAGGTGTTGTCAACACCTGTGTTGAGAACACCTATGAATAACTGTTCTGATGAGACCTATTAGGTCGAAATACGTATCAACAGATACATAAGAGTTGAGACAACACCTATGTTGAGAACACCCATGAATAACTGTTCTCATGAGAACTGTTAGGTCGAAATACGTATCAACACATCCGTAGAAGTTGTTTGCGTGAAATCAAATATTTGCTGTCTTTTTCATTTTACTAAGGAATGAGTTTGATGAGAGATTCGCAGACCTCAAATCACAAATGCCCTACATGAAAGTCTTCCATACATGTTTGATGCTGAAATTGAAAGCGCGGGACTAAACCTACAGAATTGATTTAAATACAAACTAACTCTCTTCTAAAATACAATAATTACCTTTCAAATAGGTTAATTGAATTTTACAAAAAGTATATTAGTTCCAACCAATACCCAAACCTTACCAAATTAACTCTTCAACAAATTTTCTTATTTGGCAGTACCTATATTTGTCAATGGCTTTTTTCACGCATGAAACAGAATTAATCAAAAACCAGATAATTTTTAACAGACAGTTATCTTACAGGCATTCTGCGCATGGCTACTACTATAATATCAGCTGACAGATTCGTTGTGTAAGCAAAAAAGCTTGCCTGTTTTCTTTTTTATTTAATCATCCGTATTGGAAAATACCATCGAGTTAGAATCTATGGAGAAGCTATGAGAAAATTAACGTATGTATTAAAAACGGCGTAGGTAGGCGCAACTAACGTTAATACCAATATGGCGGTGGGATCAGGGCCAAACTCAATAATATTAAAACATACAAATATGACTAGTTATTCAGACGATTTAATCATAATCTAAAAAAGTGCAATACATTTTTAATAAACTATGATTTATTTATCCCGCGGTAAACACTAAAGACACAATATATTATACATAAAGATAAATTAATACAGTCAAATACTATTAATTTATTCTCCGAAGTACGGACCATTACTTTGTTTTACATATTTGTATACTAACCTGTGGAACGATATTCCTGAAGATTTTTTTATTAACATTGCTTCTGCTACAGCAACTACGTTGAGAACAAGAAACCATTATTATGCACTATCACAATATAATATTACAGTTTCTATAAAAGTATTATAAAACTAAAAATATTCAAAAATCAACAAATGTAAACAAACATACGATCTGTCAAAAGTGTCAAAACAATATTCTTAACAATATGGCCGAAATGAGGTCGTTTTTATTACAATATTGCCGCTTTTTTTACAATTTTATACAATAATGTCGCTATTCCACTCCTTTGGTAGCTGTTTATTCAACCATATCTTTCTTATCAGCTCATGTATGGCTTTAAGTAATGCGTCTCCTCCTTCTTTCAGTAGCTCCGATGATATTTGATCCGATCCCGGTGATTTATTGTTCTTTAATTTGTCCACTGCTGTTCTAATCTCTGCTATTGTTGGTGGACTCTTTTCTCTGTTGTCTGCTTGGTCTAACGGTATATCAGGGTTCATCTCCGTCCTATTCACCCCAAGCTTTTCCTTAAAATGTTCTGTCCATCTTCTAAGTATCTCTTGCTGTTCTGTCAATATATTACCCTCCTTATCTTTGCACATCGTTGTTCTTGGTTTGAACTCTTTTCTGCTTTTGTTGAGTTTCTGGTAAAATTTTCTTGTCTCTGTTGGTTTACTTAGTTCTTGTAGTTCTTGAAGTTCTTTGTTGATATATTCTCTCTTCTTTCTTCGGTGAATTTTCTTTTCTTCTTTACGTAGTTGTTTATATTCTTTCTGTGCTTGTCGGTTCTGTGCCTCTGTTGCATCTGTAGATATGCTCTGTTTTTTCTTTCTGTTATAGTTTGACATTCTTCGTCAAACCAGTGATTCGTTCTTGTTCTTCTTTCTTTCTACATTCGACATTCTCTGATTCTACATTGAATTTTTCTTCGGTGATTTCCTGTAGAAAATTTTGTTTTGGTGTTATTTTCACTCTTATCTTTGCTAGTACTAGTTTGTGTTCACTCCCGGCGTCTGCTGAGATTAAAGTTCGGATAATTAGAATTTGCGTTGGGAAGGATTTTTCTGTTACTGACTATAAAATAAATCATAGATTTATGCCCTCTGGAGTTTTCACATGTATGTTTATACTGGAGCTAATGGCCGAAAAATGTATTATTGATTATTGGTTCGTTAAAAGCATAGAGATTAGCCAGGAGTTCTCCTGGAACTATTTCATTTCCGATTCGTGTATTAAAGTCACCCATAAGAATTAAGGGTTCTTCATGAGATATTTCATCCAGGATGGTTTGCAATTGTTCGTAGAATGTCTCTCGTTCCTTCTTAGGTTTGCAGTCCTCGAGACTCGGGTTGTTGATAACAATTGTTCTAAATCTTTTATTGATCTCACAGACCGAAAAAATCGTATCAACATTGCTTGAGAAAAGGAAATAATTGGTACAGGAAATTAGCCACAGAATTATTGCCTGGTGGTGTTTTGGTGAAAGAAGTGCTTTCGTTCTAAATGTCATTATTGTATTACTTGTTTTTTTCTCAACACTTAATATTTTTTTAAAGTAATAAGGTGCTATATTATGTTGTTATTATAATTATTTTTGCGTATTCTAAATAAAATCTTTTATTTTTTTCCTAACGTTTTATAATTTCCATATCTTTCGCAAAAACCATCCCACATGTGATCAGGAAGGATTATTTTGTTCCTTGCACCATCCTGTACAACTTATAATGTAGTTTATATAGCTATGTGAGATATAGTTGATACCACGGTGTCCCTAATACAAAAGTGTTGTGTGGCATTTGTGTGATACCTCACTGTCCCAAGCGTTAGCCTTAGTGAGACATTACATTGATGCCACTCGGGGCTGAACGTGTTCATACTATAATTAACAAAAAAATAGCCTAAAATTATCTAATTTTTACGGTGTCACTAATTGGAATAAAAAAAAAATACAAAAGTTCTAATACAAAAGGCGTTTTGTTAATTTACCGTGCGAGATGACACCTTTATCCACTCATATGATCAATTGTAACCTATACTTCTTTATTCTTAGTTTTGGTTTAGTTATTTATATTTACATTTGTTTCTGTCCATCACTCTTCCGTTGTCGTAGCATTTTTTTCTACTTTACAATGCAAATTATTTATTACCCCATAAATGCAAATTTTACATATATAAAAAACCTTTTCGCAAAACAAATGACGAAATCGTTTATTACCATATTAAGATATTTTTACAACAATCAGGTAGATTCAATAACAAAATACCGTGTACGCCCTAAAGGCCTATTTATGGTAGACGTCATTTGACGTCTGTGTAATGTATTTCCCGTTACGCAGTATGTTTTTAATTATGTGGATTTTTTTTATTCACGTATACGAGTGTAAGTTATGAACATCTGAAAATGGAAGTCATTTGTAGATTATTATGTGTGCCAGAAGGTACAAATGTAAGATTCTGCTAAGGATAATTCTATAATTGGTAAGTAAGAATGTTTGTATTATTATATTTTTATTTTAAATGTATTGTCCCTTCATGACAATTTTAAATAAAATTTGTATCAATTCGACTATAAAAATTCGATATCTCTTGATCAGATAGTCCTGTTGACAAAAATCAGAAAGCTTTTTAAAAGTGAAGAGGGCAGCTTTGTTATGAAATTTTTGTATTTTGTAGCAATTAAAGTTAGTTTCTATAAAAATGTTAAATAAATAAACGGCTCGCGATTTTTATTTTTTACGATTCTCATGGGATCATTTAAATTTATCACTTTTCCGTTACTATGGATTTTCCATTTTTAAAGCCAAATCTTCAAAACCTAGGACATCAAATTTCGGTTTTGATTTTTGGTCCTAATGATTTCATAAGAACTCATGGCTCTCCAAAAAAAAGTAAAGTAAGTCAAATCCGGTACAAAATCCCGCTTGCTCTATTAGCTGGTAGAAATCAAGTTTTCTCTCAAGGCGATTCGTTACTATTGCTGCTGAAAGTTTAGTTTAATCGTAAAAACTGACGAAACCTCTAAAACTAAACCTAACATTGACAAAATTGAGTTAACATCACCAGAAGGCTTAACAAAGCCTTATTTATGGCCTACAAAACTTGCAGAATAATAATAGCAAAAATGTCCACTGGACATCATTAGTGTCACTATGACATGTCGGTTTAGATAAGTTGTTTTTTACAATACCGCCACTTTTGAGTTGTGCCACTATAGCAGACAATTTTAGATATTATATGTGAGTATGTGATCAAATTATATCAGTGAGAATTTTGTAGTAGTGTCACATTATATAAAAGGAATCAATTTATTATTTTAAAAATGTCAGATCTAAAGGGTTATCGGGAGTAACATAAGTAATATTATCAATAATATTTTGTTGCCGGCATACATAAACTACCAAAAAGAAGATTGTATACATGGAAATCTCCAGATGATACAACGAATAGAATAATCCGAAGACTTTGTCCTTATTAGACAAATATTTCGTAATTCTATACTCTCTGCCAAAACTTGCCCTGGAGTAGACATCGGTTTAGACCATAACCCCATAGTAGTCACATTACGAACCAAATTAAAACTGGTTAAAAAACCCACACAAAGTAGAATTGATATTAAGAGATTAAGGGAACCACAAACAAAGGAACAAACTGTAAAAACTCTTACTGAAAATCTACGTAATGCCCAAGAACTGAATAAAAGTAGCTATAACATTGATCAGAAATGGGAAAATATAAAAGTAGCAATAATTAAAACAGCAAACGAAAACTTAAAACCAAAGAATAGAAAACATAAAGATTGGATGACTGAAGAAATACTACTATTAATGAATAAAAGAAAATCATTCAAAACAAAAAATTCAATTAAATATAATGAAACTGATCGATTAATAAAAAAGAGAATAAAAGAAGCTAAGGAGAGAATGTTACATGAGCAGTGCCAAGAACTAGAAGAAATTGAGAAAAAATATGACTTTTTTAACATGCATAAAAGAATTAGAGAATTAACAGGAATGAGAAAAACACTTCAAACTAGGCAACTAAGAGATGAAAGTGGTGCACTTATAACAGATATAAACCAAAAAATGCAGAGATGGACACAATATAAGACACAATATAGACACAATATACCTATAGCACAACTTTTTGAAGACAAAGAGAGAACAGAAGCACCAAAAGAATTTAAGGATGATACTGGGCCTGACATTATACGAGAAGAAAGTTGAATATGCAATGAAACAAGCTAAAGGTGGTAAATCTCCCGGGCCTGATGAAGTTCCTATCGAATTACATAAAATTGTGAATACTGAATCTATTGATCTTCTATTGGATCTATTCATTACCATATATAGAACAGGTATAATACCTAAAGAATGGCTCCAATCAACATTCATACTGCTTCCCAAAAAAGCCAATGCAAAGAAGTGCAATGAACATCGCACCATATCCTTAATGAGTCATATCTTGAAGTTGTTTTTAAAAGTAATTCACAATAGAATACATAAGAAATTAGATGAAGGCATAAGTAATACACAAATGGGATTTAGGAAAGGACTGGGAACACGAGATGCACTGTTTGCAGTAAGTGTTCTTTCGCAGAGATGCTTAGATATTAATCAGGAAGTATATGCCTGTTTCATTGATTTTGAGAAGGCATTTGACAGAGTGCAGCATAATCGACTAAAAGAAATTTTATTAAATAAAAACATAGACAGTAGAGACATTAGAATCATCTGTAACCTCTATTGGAATCAAACAGCAAAAGTGAAAGTTGAAAACGAACTGACCAAGGATATTCAGATTCGCCGTAGCGTCCGCGAAGGGTGTATTTTATCACCCTTGTTATTCAATTTATACAGTGAAGCCATCTCAGAATTAGCGCTTGCCGAGATCAGTGAGGGCCTTATAATAAACGGTGAGCTACTTAATAACATAAGATATGCTGACGACACCGTCCTTCTGGCAGGAACACTAGAAGAACTGCAACACCTTGCTAAACAACTAAATATATATTGCAACGAATATGGACTAAAAATCAATTTGAAGAAAACCAAGTTCATGGTTTTTGTAAAAGCACAAAACATCAAAGTTAAGCTAGTACTAGATAATACAGATATTGAACAAATATCTTCGTACAAATACCTTGGAGCATGGATCACAGAAGATACTGATCAGACAAAAGAAATAAGATGCCGCATTGAAATTGCGCGGTCAACTTTTAATAGAATGAGAAAACTTTTTTGTAATCGCGATATCAATATATCGCTCCAATAAGAATGCTTCGATGTTATATTTTCTCTACCCTTTTGTATGGAGTTGAAGCTTGGATACTTGAAAAATCCAACGGTAAAACCTAGAAGCATTCAAAATGTGGTGTTACCGACGTATTTTAAACATATCATGGATTAATCGCAAAACAAACGAACAAGTTCTCGAACAACTAGGAAAATAATGCGAAGTTTTAAATTCCATAAAAATCAGAAATTGGAATACTTGGGGCACATCATGAGAGGTGAAAAGTACGAACTACTAAGGAATATAATGCAGGGTAAAATCAAAGGTAGATAAGCGTAGGAAGACGTAAAATCTCGTGGCTACGCAATCTCCGTGAATGGTTTGGATGCAGTTCAATTGAACTATTCAGGCGAGTAACCAATAAAATTATAATTGCCAGAATGATTTCCAATCTCCGATAAGAGTGGAACTTGAAGAAGAAGAAGCCGGCATACTCAAAATGAGGGTAACAGCTACCACTCTTTAATAGAAAGAAAATATCACTAAAGCTTTAAAAGGAGACCCTATTTATCTACTGACTCTACGCTATACTAATCCGAACTGCTCATTGCAAACAACTATTTAAAAAGTTAAATACTAAAACAGCAACAATTTTCAAGGAAATACTTTTCATTTCAACGATATTTGTGAAATTCATGTAAAAAAGCTCTGGTACTCACTACTTTGGTAAAACTTCATTTGCACAAGAGAAGTACATATTAGTTGATACCACCAAGAAAAGGTTTAGAAAGCATGGATATTATACAACTAGAAAAGGCTTACACTGACAGCCCGCAATGAAATGAAAAGCTTATTAGCCTTTGTGAAGACAAGAGTGTTCCATCAATTGAACTGATTTCTACCCACATTTAAAGTATTGTTAATCATAACTTTTCTTATTATCATTAATACAAATTTTTTATATCGTTTTTTTATAGTTGTTATTAAACGCATTTTCTCATTCAAGTAACTTGTAGTATTCTTTATTAGACCTTTATTTTAGTTAATAGGAATAACAAAAAAATCTCGTCTTGTCTTTGCCTTAATTAGTCTTGAAAGACAAAATGTTGATATACAATAGTGGCACAACTCAAAATATGGGTCAAATTTAAAATTCTGTGTTACAATTCATTAAAGGCTACCTAACGCTCTCCCAAATAAACCAAAATTTATGTTTTTTAAAGATTCCAATCCATGTAGTAAAACAATTAAGCCAAAATTATTGGCACACATACTTTAAACCCCTGTTTTGAAAAATTACCAGATTTTGTGTTGTGCCACTATTGCATACAGCCGACGATATATTCACATCAATATAATGTAGATGATAATATTATTTTCAACTATAATTACCCTTATCGTAAACGTTATAATAAAAATAACAAATATTAAGATATACTTAATGTTGTTATTACTTTCGGAAAAGTTTATTACTTTATATTGATATCTTGAGGCAACAATTTTAATTTATTTTTAATCGCATTTAATTGATTATTAAAATTTTTGAAAGCAAGGATCATCAATCGCAATAATTTCTTACAATGGATAGAAGAGTTTTAGTTGTATTTACAGTAATATTTTTATTAAAAAACGTGCATACATGTAAAAAATCAGTTACAACTGTTAGTGGTAGTCATGCACCGAAAGAAGTATGCTCTGGGAAGATAATATTTCAAGACAATTTTGATGATTTAGATTTGAAGAAATGGAACCATGAGCAGACACTTGGTGGTGGAGGCGTAAGTAAAACGTTTGTTTTTAAATTTTAATTATTAATATTTAAGTTAATTTAATCAACGCATATACAGAATACAGTATTAGTACAAGAAAGTCCAATTACTCATTTATCGTAGAAGACACGAAAAATATTTAGGTATAAAATTGGAGCATAGATAAGACCATACTCTAAAAATATTTTCAAATATACAAGGAGACCCATATTGACAGAATGGAACAAACTTATTTTTTTTAATAGAACACCCTGTATTATTTTACATTTTTAGACTCTTCTCGATGTTCAAAATGTTCAATACAGTCTTTAACATAAGTACAATTTTTATATTTCGGTTTTGGCCACCACAAGAATCTGACCAAAGTATGAGATGTTCCGTGGATTCAGGAACATGTGCAATATGCTTGCGCAAAAAAGAACCTAGCTCCTGAGCTTTCCTACCAGCCTTGCCTTCTAACCATGTAAAAGCAAAATCCATTATTCATTTTGCATGAATGGATAGCAGTATTACAAAACCATATTTGTCTTTTATAGAATATAGAAGACTGTATTCATGAATTTTTGGGAAGGGTAGTGTTTTTTCCATGTCAAAAGTAAGGACTTTTAAACTCTCATCTATTGTTGCCTGTTCTGTGTCTTTGTTCATTCTGTTTTTGTGTTTTCTTGATTGGTTAACTGTATTTTATGCTCCTGCAAAAACTTTTCTTTATCATCGTTATTCTTAGCATATTTTACAGCAGCATTTAGTGAGTAACATAGATTACGGGTGTCGTTTTTTAACACTTTCACTGCTAACTTTAAATTGCGACATTGGCAGGAGCGGTAATGTTTTTTGGTGGTTGTGATTAGAGGTTAACGTTAGAATTCCTTTTTTGTGTGCGACACAAAAAACATGATGACGCTTATGTGTTTTTGACGTGTGACTCCGATCGACATCATGCGCACCTTGTTAAAAATTCCTTGCTCAATGCTCAGCGACCCTGATCGAAGTCACATATATTTTAGCATCTTTCAAGAGAAATACAGGTACTAAGTGCTAAGTATGGGATATACCTACCTGTCCGCTGTTAGATAAAGACATAAAAAGCAACAACATGAACAACATATTTTTATTATAAAAACAAATACAATATCTCTCCTTCAAACTGAAATAATATCATACGCGTCAGCAAAAAAGTATAAAAATAGAAACAAAACTAACTAATTGCTAATACTATAAACAAAGTAACAAAATCTATTACCCCACATGGTCATTGTCGAAACATTCTACACAGAATCCTGGTTTATTAGGACACATTTCGCAATAGTACGTAGTATCTTTCCATATATATTTTTAAGAACGAATCTACGACAAAATGACGCGGAAAACAGGACGCGAGACCAAAGGACGCGGAAAAAAGGACGCGCGAAAAAAGGACGCGCGAAAAAAGGACGCGTGGAAAAAAGGACGCATATTATTATTTAATTACTATAAATAGTTTATTTTAATTGACATTAGCCATTACCCCCTTTTTATCCCCATATGTTATTACAGAAAATGATTCTACCTAACCTAAAATCGGTTACGGTAAGAGTAAAAAGTGAAAAATAATTATATGAAAAAAACTTGCCCTCACATTTTATCGAGGCTTAGGACTAAAATATCTTAAGTAAAATAATAAATACTAATATAATGTTGATTTAAGACTTCTGGTATTGAAACAGGTTAGATTCCATATTATCAGAATTATGTATGGATTAGAAAAACCCAAGTACCAGCCCAGTAAGGGGTCTAATGAGGGTTTAACGCGAACCGGAAGGTTTGGTAAATTCCGCAGGTAATGTTAAGAATGTAAATAGAAACGATTAGTAAGAAAATAAAACTTTCTGACTGTTTGATAATTGTTTTTAAGAAATGAATATTACAAAAGGTCCGATATAACAAAACATCATTAACCAAATTGTTTATATATGGGAAACTTGTCGCGGTAGGTAATTTATTCTGTTCTTAACAAGAAAACATTTTACAAATTGATATCAGTCTGTTAAGATGGTGTTAGCATTTGTGAAAAGCCAAAAAGGCAACAACTTGTTACTTTATAATGGATTTCTCCATAAAAAAGAGCGAGTGATTGGTGAAAAGACAATTGGGAAGTATGCTACTTATAATAAGTACAAATGTACAGGAAGAGTGCATACCGTTGTGGATGAAATTACAAAATCCACAGAACATAAATCACGTTGCAGACACGGCAAAGATTGAAGCAAAAGAAGCTTGTAACCGATGAAAGAAGTTGCACACCAACTGGAACACTCCACCCAAGGTGTAGTAAGTGAAATTTTTCAAGGACTTTCCTTAGCTGCTACGGCACAACTTCCATCAGTGTCGTCGTTAAAAAAAACTGTGCAAAGAGTTCAGAACGAGCTAGGAGGTACGCCCGCAAATCCGAGAAATTTAGAAGAACTTGTGCTTCCTGAAGAATATAAAACAACTACAGGCGGTGAGCTATTTCTATTATTTGATAGCGGGCCAGAAGAAGAACGTATTTTGTTATTTTCAACACAAAGAAATTTAAGATTTATAGAACAATGCGATCATTGGTATGCCGATGGAACATTTAACTCAGCACTACCATTGTTTTCTCAAATATACACAATTCATGGAGTGCGATACAGTAATGTAATCCCGACTGTATTTGCACTTCTAACGAACAAAACACAAGAGACTTATACACGTGTTTTTCAGCAACTAAAGGTGTTGAATCCGGCCTTGCGCCCTCTAACAATAATGATGGACTTTGAAAAGAGCGGCAATGAATGCTGCACAAACTGAGTTCCCAAATGTGAGAATCCGCGGATGTTTTTTTCATTTCTCGCAGTGTATGTGGCGCCATATTCAAAGTGCCGGATTGCAACGTAGATATATTGAGAATCCTGACTTCGCTCTTCACCTAAGACAATTGACAGCTCTTGCGTTTGTTCCAGACAACCATGTAGTCAGCGTGTACATGGAGTTGCTCAATAGCGATTTTTATACACAAAATGAAGAACTACTAGTGCCGCTGATTAATTACTTTGAAGACACTTGGATAGGGAGATTAGCTAGAAGAGGAAATCGAAGACAACCCCTTTTTTCAGCAAATGTATGAAATTGTTACGATTTGGCAGACCAAGATATACCTCGAACTAATAATGTTGTCGAAGGATGGCACAACAACTTTTCTTCTCTTCTCAATAGTGCACATCCGAATATTTGGAAATTTATTAATTCTCTAAAAAAAGAATATGATTTAAATGTTTTGAAAATAGAGCAGTACATTTCGGGCAATGTACCTCCACGCAAAAGAAAATATCAAAATACAGCAAACAGGATAAGGGCTATTGTTGCCGATTATGCTGACAGGCCAACTTTAGAATATTTGAGAGGCATTCCTCACAATTTTCAGTTGCAAACATAAAAAAATACAAAAAAAATTAATATAAAAAAAAAACAAAAAAAATAAAATGACAAAAAAATTCCAGAAAAAGCAAAAAATTAAAAAAAAAAAATAAAAAAAAACTTGTAAACACGCCAGCTTCTGTTGCCAGTCCCAAGCCTGGATAAAGTGTGAAAGCAAGTTTTTTTTCATATAATTATTTTTCACTTTTTTACTTTTACCGTAACCGATTTTAGGTTAGGTAGAATCATTTTCTGTAATTATATATAGGGATAAATGGGGGTAATTGCTATTGTCAATTAAAATAAACTATTTATAGTATTTCATTAATAATATGCGTCCTTTTTTCCACGCGTTCCTTTTTTCGCGCGTCCTTTTTTCGCGCGTCCTTTTTTCCGAGTCCTTTTTTATGCGTCCTTTTTTTCCACGTCCTTTTGTCGGTATACCTTTAAGAACATACTTTGCAAGATGAATATATTATATGCACCCACCTTCTCGAATACTACAACTGATCCATCCTCCACCTCCAATTTAAAGGATCCCCTGGTGTTTATTCCTTTGTTGCTCGAGATCTCCATGTACTTCGATTTATTAATATTAACTTTCAGTCCCATTTTAGAGCTTTCCCGAATCAATCTTTTTTGATAGTTATATTTGATAGTTCTTTTCCATTTCTTGCAATGAGAACCACATCATCAGCGTATGCTAAACATTGGTGCTCCTTGTATAAAATAATTCCGGACCTATTTATCCCACTAACCCTTACAATTTTTTCTAGAACTATATTGAATAGCAATGTAGACAACGGGTCTCCTTGGCGAACACCTTTTTTCACTTCAAATTTTTCTGAGACTGTACCGTTGCATCTCACAGCACAAATGGTTTGTCTATTTGTAATTTTTTCAAATCTTACTATTTTTTCTGGCACTTGGAATTTTGTGGTTGGTGTTGGTTGGTGAAACTTATTTTATATATTCGAGTATATTGTTTCGTCCGATTACCAGAACTAACTCCATAATGACGCTTGACTGGTTCCTTCTTGATTAATGTATCTAAATAAGCTGTTTGAGAATCATATGATCCTAATTCACAGTATTTCTTAAACAGTTTTTCTCGTTCTTCTACGGAAATTATCTAACTGCACCTATTTTTACACTTGCACATATAGTTTTCAAATTCTTTGGAATTAACATGGATTCCTCTAAAACTTACGTAAGGTTTGTTGTCGTTTTTTGTTAACTTTTTCCTGCTATCACGTGTTTGATTATTATATTTACGTTTTCAACCCTTTGGGGGTCTGCCTGTAGAAGTACTTTCATTGTTAACTACATATCCCAATGGATCATTTTTATCTTCTATATCCGGTGAGGAGGGTACATAATTCGCATCAGCAATGCTATCATCGGTGTTTTCTAAAAAATCACCCAAATCTTATAACAGATTATCACCGTAAGTAGCAGATTCATAAAAAGTATTGAGGCTAAGTCTCAAATATTTTTACTATATCTAAACACACTAATTTTTGCATACATTTGATACATATTACATACCTCATCTTGTTTTATTTTTGTGCTAGCTGCACCATATATTGTCCTCTGGACACAGACATAATTATATCACTCGTTAACACTTAAAATATAACTGAAACATAATGGTTTAAATAAACAGAACCGGAATCAACAATGAAATTTGCATAAAGGAACTAACTCGTTTGGTTCCTTTATGCAGAATTCTGTCACCACGTTTTATGGTATATATAAGGGTACTATTCCACAGATGACGTGACTGCACATAATTGGGTTGGTTCTGTTTTGCATTTTATAAAATACTGAATACTAATTTTTATAATCGAAAGCTTCATTATTTTAAAACTGCCAAAATGCGGGTTGGTTCCTTTATGCAGAACTACATCCAATTATTTCTCGAATCGTAATCTTCTAGTTTTCAAAAATGTATGCGAACCATTAACTTCAATTTCCGTTGTACTTAACTTGATTGCGGTTTTATCTACAATAAATTTATTTAAAATCACAAACCGCTGAATGTAAATAAGATTGTTGTTATTTATAAACTTATATTAAACGTATTTGAACTTTTAGAATTGGGAATTCCAATGGTATACCAACAGCAGAAACAACAGTTACGTGGAAAATGGAACGCTTCATATCAGACCAACTCTTGTGGCCGATGAATATGGCAAAGATTTTTTATATAATGGTACTATCGATCTAGGCAAAGAGTACGTATATAATATTTTTTTATAAAATGAAAAACTATTTAAAATAATTCATATTTAAAAAGAAATTCTTAGCTCCTTTATAAAATACAGACATGAAATATTAGAATCGAACATGATTCTTAAATTTTATCTTTGAATTAAACAAAAACTTTTTTAGTTCCTTTGAATAGCTCGTTTCGTAGAGGGCTCCTACGTTACCGTCCCAAAAATAGTGTCTGATGGCGGACATTAATTCTCAGGATTGGCACATCTCAACTAAAAAATTTCAACGGGATTACAGGAAGACAATGAGTCAATTTAAAAAACAGTAATTTCTACATTCAAAAATTGCTAAAAAAAATTTTTTCTTCAAATATTCGCCATTTCTTTTATTTCTTTCTTCGCAAGGGCGCTTTACATCAGTAATCCCCTCTGCACTGAACCTCTAAAAATCATACAAACAAGCTAAATTTTGCTGAGCATGTAAATTTTGGCATCCCAAAAATGATACACAAAATTTTATTACATAATGACGGTATTAGAGTTTTGTTTCGATACAGGGCAGCTGCAAGCCTCTTATACGTATTTCGACTTCTTTAGGTCTCATTAGAGCGGTATATGCCATTGCTCTAAAATTTTATTACTTTTACTCTCCGGCTTCCCCTTAAAACCTCCACCGTAGGGGAGGAAAAATGGAAAAAATTGTTTTACCTAGAATCTGTACATCGCAGATGAAATTTTACTCAAAAATGTTTAATTCCACTTTTTCTGTAGAATGAACCGTTCTCTTAGAAACAACGCTCGAAGCGACAGGCGATTTTCAATGTCAGGTGCGCGCGAAATTAATTTTAAATAAAATTTATATGAGCTCGACTATGAAAATTCGAGATCTTTTAATCAGAGCGTCCTATCGACAAAAACAATTTTAAAGGTTTAAAGGTGAAGATAGCAGTTTTTTCTATGTTATTTTTGGATTTTGCCACAAATGAAGTCAGCTTCCATAAAGGTGTTAAAATAAACGTTTGGCGATTTTTACCATCTTTTACGATTCTCATCAAAACAATACCATTTCCATTGATTGTTTTTTCTTTTTCCAAGAATTCGATGTGGATGATGCCCTTTTTATCCCAGAAAACAGTCGTCATCACTTTGCCAAATGTGCACTCTTTGCCTTCTTCGGCGGCCCTCCGCCGCGTTTGCGCCACTGTTTTGACTGTTCTTTGAGTTCCGGTTTGTAATAATTAGGGATGGGAAAAACCTACCGGTTTTAACCGAAAATCGGTTTTTTTACTTCATAATAACCGGTTTTATCGGTTCGTTTTTGGTCCCGGTTATAACCGGTTTTTTATTTTTAAAATAAAAACCGGTTGTTAGGTTTTTACGATGATTAAAACTAGGTTAGGTATTATTTTGGATCCCAATCATAATTATTATTCTGAATTAACTATTCCAAAGAAAACCATAATTCAAATTTTATTTTATTTTATAAATACAGAAGCAAACTGAAAGTGCAAACTCATATCAGCCAGAAACAATTAAGTTTTATTATAATATTTCGTTGAAAAAGTATTTGTAATCATAATATTTACATAAGAAGTGACCTGGTACATCACCTATTTTTCACACTTGACTCTTTGACATTGAAAGTGGGTGAATGGCTTTTGGCTTTTGCTGATTACCAAAAATAATGTCTGATTATCAATATCGAATAACTTATTATGAGTACAAATCTACAAGGATTTCCCTACGTTTTCAAAACGATACAGAAAGTATTAAATGAGTTAAAATGTTAGTAAAAATAAAAGATGAATTGCATTATCCAATTTATTTTTAAGTAAAACATTTTTGTTGATATTATTTTTTTTAATCCCATTTGAAAAAGTCTGGGAAATTTTTTATAAGTTGAAATGGTTGGGGAATTTTTTGGGTTTGGGAGGAGAGGATAATTTTTGGGTATTTTAGAGGATTATATTTTTAAATGGTAAATTAAATTTGCATCATTAATTGAATAAAATAATTGCATATTATATTCTACTCTCATAATATATTCAATGACAATAAATTTTTTTCACCAGGAGTAATACAATTTTTGAAAAAGTCATCATACCGTGATTTTCTCAAAGAAAAAACGCAAATCCTTAGTCAACTTTCTTCTACCTACTCAAGCATTTCATTCAGGTGTTAATATGAACAATATAAATGAAAAAAGAACATCAAAATCAATTTTAAAGAGTATCATTTAAAAGTTCTGCCTTCCACAATCCACTTCCACCCATACAGGATAGCTGTACGCCATCCTACAAGCAATAAAAGACTTATGTAGCCAAACTAAAGCCAAAAACACTGCAATATGTACAGATTCGATGTCCTCCATCGACTCAATTAAACATATATATATGTATATATATATATATATATATATATATATATATATATATATATATATATATATATATATATATATATAATTTTCGAGCCCTTTAAACTCACCCCATTTAAAAACCAAGGGTTCCAAAAAGATTTAATTCACAGATCTTTGTAGCTCTTAAGAACCTCTACAAAACCGTTTTTGAAGAAACACTCTATCGTTAAAAATGAAGGAAATACGTTAAAAAAAGCAATTAATTTTTTTCCGGAAAATTCCATTAGGATAGTACAGTACATTTCGGAGCATATTAATCTACAAAACCGGTATATTAGGTGGGGCGTTATACATTCGAAATTTTAAGCGTTCTTATTTTGAAATCCCTTACAACAGAATAAAACATCTGCTCATATGTCTATGGCTTGGCAATGAAAATATCAGAGCAACAGATTGGGGATGGTATTCCAAAGATGGATTGTTATTATTATACCTGTACGCATGAACAAACAACCTGCACCCGATGAACTTTTGTTGTTGTTGTTATAAATGTGAAAATTTTGTCAACTATTTATGTAAATGTATAAGAATATATGGTGCCTTTTTATGTTTGATAAATATTTTTGTATTTAATTCTACTTTTTTCAATTTATACCTATTAAATTAATTTATAAAAACTGCAAGTAAGCAGTCCTCTTATAAAGGACGATATTCAAAAGTTGAAAAGTTGCCAAATTTTGGAAAAAAATTGTTTTCACGTATAGCACTCATAACAATTGATTTTTAAGGGTTGAAAATGTAATTTAAAGTATAAAAAATCACTATTTAACTAATCCAAACCAAATTTCACTCATCTTAAGATTTGTAATGTTATTTTACAATTTTTAAAAATTAGGGGTAGTTTTCACCCCTAAGAACAATCAGGGTTCATCGGCATGACATAAACTATAAAGCAGAGGGTGAGTTGAGCTTAATTCCAAATTTTTATCCAAATCGTTCCAAGGCGAAATCATTTTCTTCGCATTACTACTTTTTTTTACATTAATCTCTAACAAGGGTCGCTTTTTAAGGGTTGAAATATGACGGAACTTTATTTAAAAGCACGAAACTATCATTATTTAATGAATTTAAACCAAATTTCACCCATATTCAGGTTTAATATGTTATTTTATAATTTTTGACAACTAGGGGTAGTTTTTACCCCTAAGAACAATAAGGGTTCGTCGACATGACATAAACTAGCTTATTGAGAGAATTGAGAATTGAGCTTAAATCCACATTTTTATCCAAATCGATCCAAAGCGAAATCATTTTTTAGAATTAGTAATTGTTTTACATTAATCTCTAACAAGGGTTGCTTTTTAAGGGTTGAAATATGATGGAACTCTATTCAAAAGTATAAAATAATTATTATTTAACTAATTCAAACCAAATCTTAGCCATATTCAGGTTTAATATGTTATTTTATAATTTTTGACAATTGGGGTAGTTTTCACCCCTAAAACCCTTTAGCTCACTTCGGTTCGATATAGATTTTGATCCTTGGGCTATCACTTACCTTCTGTTAAAATTTCAGCTCAATGCATGCAGGACGAAAAAATGCGAAGTTTTAACTCTTTTCGAGCTTCATTTCCTGAACTATTAATTATCGCTTCCTTTACGCAAACAACATTGTAACATTGTTGCGAGACAGATAGTTGAACGATATTTTATACAATGTCTATACCCAGGTATGGATTTATTTTTGTCCAAGTTTTATATTGGTCCACTAGTTCAAATGCAGTTCAAACAGACATGTATTAAATTGTATGATCCGTTTTAAATTCGTTCAATCTGTATATATAATCTGAACATCCATTAGTTTATAACATACATAGAGCAACAAATTGACTCGCTTCTTCTGGGACAAACCTAACTTTAATCTGATACGGCTGCAAAAAAAGCAATGGCAACCAAATCAGACCTCAAATCTGTTCAACTAGCATCTAATCTAAATCCACTATTCAGGTCCCAAATCAAAAAGTCCTGGCAAAACCAATGGAAGAAATCAACCACAAAATTACACAAAATACAACCTACCATCGAAACCTTTCAGCTACCTAACTTAAGTAGAAGAGACACAATAATCTTTCGCAGGCTAAGAATGGATCATATACGGCTGACTTGTCAAACACGAACAAGAACAAAAAGAAAATAAGGCCTTACAAATGTTATTCTAAGCCAATTAGAACTGGTTCAGAATGTACTAGATTTCCTTCGAAAAACGAACTTGTTTTACAAAATTTAGTGTATTCTTTTTCATTACTTTCTCTTTTATTGTAAATAATAATATTATATAACTTTTATTCACATATTCTCTTTATTGTAAATTATATGTAATGTAAAATGTATAAATTACTATTAAACTGGGAATAAGCCACAATTAAAGATAAAAATACGTTTATTGACGTTTCAATTTCCACTTCGGAAATCGTTCTCAAAATACAAACAGTAAATTATTGTTATTATTATATTAAATTATTAATTAATTTACTGTTTGTATTTTGAGAACGATTTCCGAAGTGGAAATTGAAACGTCAATAAACGTATTTTTATCTTTAATTGTGGCTTATTCCCAGTTTAATAGTAATTAATTCACAATGCCACAAGAAAATAGCTTCAGAACAATAGTAAAATGTATAGTAACAAAATTGACCCAGTGTCAATAACCTTATAGTTGAGATACAGTAAACTAAAAAAAAATCAGTGCAATATTTAATTATTTAAAATCAAATCTTTTTCAGATGTACAAATAGTGCATGGTTTGGATGTCTTAGAGTTGGAACAAAAACGCAGATATTAAACCCCATAAAGAGTGCTCGAATTCGTACTGCATATTCCTTTTCGTTCAAATATGGAAAAGTTGAAGTTCGTGCCAAGAATCCAGCAGGTGATTGGTTATGGCCAGGTAGGTACTAAGTTTCATCTTCTTAAATTGATTTATGTAATGTAAGATGATTCTAGACCAAATGCAAATTATTTATGGAAAGGATTTAACAATGATGTTTTGACGAAGTCCATTAATTATGTTACTGTTTTTAATTTGCAACTTTAAATATATTTATATAAAGTACGTTGACTTTTGGATTAGATATTTCAAATACACAAAGCGCTTAAATCGGCAACATTGCCTCGTAAAAGGTAATTGTAATTCTCCTATCCTCTCCGACACCATCACAGAAAATCATTTAGTAACAACTAACAATTCATGGGATGTACATCTCCCTCCTTCGATGTTAATTTCCATTACATATATCCGGTTAATTTCTTAGAGTACATAAACTCGATAAAAATACACTGACCATTGTAAGGCGGTGCATTTGCATCGGTTTTTAATAATATGAAAAATTTTTTGTGGTTTAATATCTGGTCTTATAAATTCTAGTACTGTCACTTACTTTATGACTTCCAAATATAATATACGTATAATACTGATGACGTTCCAAAAGTTTTCCAATCTGAAGAATAAAATGTTAAATAGAAATTTCGAATTTTTCAGTTGTTTATTTTTAGTGTATAGTTAGTATAGTGTATATTTAGTGTATATAAAAAAAACTTAAAATATTTAAATTATATTTACTGTTCACTTTTAAATTTTAGAAGCATATTTTTAGCTATTTGGTTGCTACCAACCGATTGGAAATACGGAGGCTGGCCGACATCTGGAGAAATCGATATGATGGAAAGTAGAGGGAATAGACAGCTGTTATCAAACAGCGGTCATAAAATTGGTGTTCAGACCGTTGGATACACCCTTAATTGGGGTCCAAACCCAGATTACAACCAATTCTATAAAACTCATTTCGATTCATTTTTGGATGTGGGATATGATCAAGAATTTCACAAGTATCAGTTAGAATGGACTCCAGATTATATTAAATTCTCAAGTAAGTCGTTAGTTCCATGTATAAGTTTACTACAGTAGTTAACATGTATCTATATTTTAAAAATCTTTAAAGAATGCACCAGTATATATTGCAAATAAACCATAACATGGATTTTCTTCTGTCGAGAACATCCATAATTGAATTTAGTAAAAACCAATGAAAATATATATAAAAATAACATAGCTATGGTAAGATGTAAAGGAAAACTATCGCAACCTATCAAATATGACAACTGGCATTAGACAAGGAGATTCGCTGAGCCCATTAATATTTAATCTGACAATGGATGAAATCATAAAGAAAGTTAAAAAAGAAAAGGATGTAGAATGAAAGAAAAGGAAATAAGGATAATATGCTACGCCGACGACGCCATAATGAAGATATTAAACTGAAGAATGAAGTTCCGACATGGGAGCGGAGCTCAGGATCAGTATTGATTTTTGTAAATCCTCTGACAAGAACATGTTCCCGGCGGATGGGTGGTGGAGCTATATGACTCAAAGCTGGTAACCAGTAAGTGGGCGTGGCCTTGATTGTGCCCGATATAGTTCGCATGGCTTGGTTGAGTTGGACATCAACACGGTGAGTATGTGGACTGTTTATCCATACTGGTGCACAGTATTCCGCTACGGGGTATACCAGTCCTAATGCTGTCGATCTAAGTGTGGGTGCTGAGGAGCCCCATGTAGTGCCGCAGAGCTTTTGCAGGATGTTGTTACGAGTTCGGAGTTTTGCAGCAGTCTTAGTAAGATGCTCTTTAAAGTTCAGCCTTCTGTCAAGTGTAACACCTAAGTATTTTGGGTGTTTATTATATTTAAGGGTCTATCTCTAAAATTGATTTGATGTTGATAGTTGGCCATCTTGTTGTACAAATGGAAGCAGGACACTTCTGTCTTCGTTAGACGTTAGCGATATCTTTAGTATAGACGTACATTGATGTTGTCCCACAGTTGGCTTTTAAGAAATATGTCGCCAGTTCTTATATGTGGTAATGGTAGGTTTTGTTCAAAGTCGAACGATATAGCCATATATCTACCTGCTCTAGCTTCCAATTTATAATGTCTTTTTAATTCCGTAAATTAACTGGCTCTTCTTAAGTGCCACTCTTTTTCCAATACCAACTGATTTTTAATAATCCCATCACTATTGGTTTCTGTTTTAAAATCAGTTCATCACAACTTGAACGAGTGTCTGTTCTTGGCACACCAAAGGAAATGTTGAAGTCATTCGTAACAACATTATAATAAACATAATATGACACGTTTATTTGGATTTCCTGCAAAAAACATGTTGTGCATTTTTTTACACTTAGCTCCTCAGGTAAAAAAACTTGTCAGGATTATCTCGCCTTAAATAATTAGACTGCCTAACCTTGAAAGATTTAATGTCTTGTCGTATAAGGTAAAGAATGTCATCTGGGGTTTTAGAGGGCCTATTGTCATGCTTTCCACGTCCATCGGAAGGTGGTACTCCAGAAGTTTTAATAGAATCCTGAATTCTCCTGAGTCGACCTCTGGTAATACCACGGAAGCTAAAAAAGCAGTGTGATACACCTGTTCTTTCTTATCTTGATTCCGAACTTTATAAAATAAAAGGCTACAGAATGATCAAAAGAAGGAGCGCCCTCTTCATCTGCATTATGGTTATGTCGCGGTCTTACTTGATTTACGTTTTGAAATGAAATAAGACCACGAGAGATAGCAATCTTGCTCATTCAGAAGATAGATAATTGAATTTTCCATAATAAGGGTCCGTTGTTCAGCTCGATGTCGAAATCAATAAATCGGAAGAAAAAAGCGTCTGAGTGTTTTATTGCTTTAGTGATGCTAAAATATTTTGTAGCAATCAGGTACTCAACTAGGCCTCTCTAAAATGTAGAAAGTCTGGTAATTAATTGATCCTCTCCAACAATAGTATTTGTAACATCTGGTTGTAAAGATTTCAGTGTTTTTTATTACTTTTCATTAGCCTTTGACCTTTGATATTTATACATTTACAATATTTAATTAAAGTATTTGTTTATTTTAAGTTATTTTGTTAATTTTAGTTGACGATAATGAAGTCAATGCAGTTATTCCGTCTTCGGGAGGATTTTGGCAATTGGGAGCATTAAATTCAACAGGTCTTAAAAATCCTTGGATAAATGGTACTAAAATGGCTCCGTATGATCAAGAATTTCACTTTTCTGATTAATTTGGCTGTGGGTGGTCTAAGTTATTTTCCCGACAACGCTATTAACATACCGGGAAGGAAACCTTGGAACAATTTATCACCATATGCTCCAACGACATTTTGGAATGCACGAAATGATTGGTTACCAACTTGGAAAATGGAAACCAGTGACTCTCATTTAAAAATTGATTATGTCAAGGTTTGGGCACTGTGAAGAAAAAGTTTTCTTTAAATTATTTGTTCCAGTAAAACGTTAATTAATAGCTCATTTAATTTTAGTTCTAATTAAAAAATTTTAATTAAGAAAGTTAAGTTAATTCAAAATGTAACATTTTCTAATTTTTTATTTATAGTTAACAATTAAAAAAGTTTTGTTTTTTTTTTGCAACATTGATCTTTGACCAATGAGTATTACCAGTGATGACAAATGGATGGCAAACATGGACAATGATAAGGTAGAACATGGATAAATTTTGCAATAACCCAGAGAGAGATGGAATCATGTCAGATGTCAGATCCTCGTAAAATGATACAGCTTCCTCGTCTGTTGAGTTTCCTGTTGGTGCATATCCATAGCAAATACTAAACAAGTAAACACTATAAAATTAAACAACAAAACTTAAAAACAGGATTTATTTGCTTTTTTTGTATTATCACAAAACCTATTATATTTTATATAATACGATCTCTTTATAGATGACTAATAATTTCATTATACAACTATTAATTTTCTTCTTTTATAGCATTGTATATATCATAAAAGCATATAAGCATGACAATTTACTAATTGCAAATAAATTGCTTATGAAAACCATCTTTTTTTATAGGCTAAAAAAAATATAGGAAAACAATTTTTTTCCTCAAGCATCAAATTTTTTCCAATTTTTGTTTCCAAAGTTAACCGATTATAATGCCCATACTTTAATAGATGTAACGGATAGTCGACTGTCTTCATCCCATGTACTACTCCAGTTTTGTTGTGCCTGATAAAATTTCTTGAAACTTAAACGTTCATAGTTTTTCCATGGTTTAGATCCGTCGATTCTATCTTCAAAATTTAATCCACCTGCTCCAACACCGACTGATATAAACATCTAAAAATTACAATCATTATTTTGTGTAATATATCCTACAAAAACATCGAAAAAAGTCAATAAAAATGTCTTAGTGTCATAGACAATCTTTTTTTACGAGCATAAGCCCAAGAAATTTTACTAATATATATACACTCGACAAAAATATCGAATATTTTGGAATTTCCAAATTTTTGATTTTTGAAAATGAATTCTAGTCAATCAGGTCATTTATTGTAAAGAAGAATTTATTTTAACAATGTTTCATGAACATTTTCAAGTTTTTATGCGAGACATTGATCATCACATTCACCTTCATCCTGTACAGCCAGCCAAAGCTTCTCTATCCTATATGGAACAGGATTTCTTTGTCATATGCGGCATTTTAGCTGATCCTACATTTGCTCTATTGGATTTTAATCTGGACTAAAGGTTGGCTACCCCAATCTTCAAATTTGGACCCCATCAAAATAATTACTAACTATGACAGCGGCATCTGCTCGAACATTATCGTGCATTAGCATGAATCTGTCATATCCAATGTAACCAAGATAAAGCAAACCATGATCTTGCAGGATGTTTTGAACGTAAGAGTCACCAGTCATCCGTCCAATCACTTTAACAAGTGCGGTGTGTCCCTCCCAACTAACACCTTCCCAAAGCAATATACCACCACCTCTAAACTAACGGTCTGAGCGAAATTGCAGGTGGCAAATCGTTCCCTAACTCTTCTGTAGACGTGGTTTCCATCATCTGGTTTCCATTATAGGATTCTAGTCTCATCAGTGTAAAGAAAATTTTTCCAGTTGTTGATATTTCACTGAATATGTGTTCTTGCAAATTTTAAATGATGAGCTTTATGATTTTGGAGAAAACGTGGAAATTTGGCAGTGCGTCAAGGCTTTTAGTTTGCTTCTTTTAATCTTCGTCTACCTGTTTCTGTACTCACGTTAACTTGTCTAACATTTAGCACCCTCATTTCTGAGGTGAATTGATGTCAATGAGCAATTTTGTGTAAAATTAAGAACCACAAAACGGTCATCCTATGTGTATTGTGCACCTTGGACGTCCTTGACTAGGCCTTCATACAAAATTTCCTATTTGGTGGTACCTTTTTAAAGTATTCGAATCTGTAGATTGACATCTCCTAGAGACGTCGTGCGATATCATTTTGTATATATCTTTCCTCGTACAAAATTACAATCTGTGCTACTTTGGCTTCATCGCAGGGTCGAATTGGTGGTAAATTTGTTTTAAACTTACTTGAATCAATACAATATTTAATTAAACTTAATATATTAAACTAAAATAATAAAATTTTAAGATTTTTCCTTTATGCGAAGAAAGTTTTTTCTAAACTTTCTTCGCTGAATAAATGTTTATTTAGAATTTAGTTTCTTAACTAAACGCTGAATAAACGTCAAAAGAAAACGTTAAAATATTCTAAACCAATTGAATACATCAGCCTACTATATGAGTCAATATAAAATTATGTTCTTACTTCTTTATCGAAAGGAGCAAATAACGATCCTGTCTTCCATCGATCAGCATTCTTGATATTTAAAGCCTTTGCTAAAGTTATGAATCCACCGGATGGAGGAAAGATTGTTCCATATATCCTGTCATTAACCGATAAACTTATGCCATCTAAAAAATAGTGGTACTTTTAAACTTTTTTTTTTAAACCGACTAATTCCAGCACACATAACATTTCACCTTGTTTTGTGTACTTAGAACAATAATTTTTAAAAAATGTGGATTTCGGCAGTAATAGTAAGTATTAATAATAATAAACAGGGATAAAAACGAAATCATGATAATTGATATGCGCTATGGCAAAATTAACAAAAATTTGGAAAAGCCACGAAATTACTACCGATACAAAAATGTTTTTACTTATGCATCGGAATGCTGGACCATTACTGAGAAAGACAAAAAGAACATAGATGTATTTGAGATGTACTGCTGGAGACGAATGCTGAGAATATCATGGTGGCCCGAAGAACAAATGAATCCATACTGGTCCAGCTAAACATAAAGAAAAGACTAAGAACACAAATAACAGAACAGATAATAAGCTATTTTGGACATGTGCTTCGAAGAAATGGTCTTGAGAAACTTACCATCCAGGGAAAAGTAGAAGGCAAAAGAAGTAGAGGTAGATCTCCTACACGATACACGGACCATATTGTTGCTACCATTGGCCTCCATTGTCAGAATGTGCTAGATTGGCAGAAGATAGAAAAACGTGAGGAACATTGGAAAAATTACCTAACAGCTTCATGATATCACGATACCTGCATCAGTTAACGACTAAGAAGAAGAAATGTAAGTATTAAGTATGTGAACAAATAACGAAGACAACTATTTATTGGATCTATTCTTAGGACGAAAGAATAATAGGCGAGTTTCCAGCTGCTTAAAACTAAAACAGATCTGCTAAAAGGTATATAATCACATTTCCATATGATTCTATTATATTGTGCAATTTTGAAACTATGTACAAATAATATTGGCATAATTTATATATTTTTTTTATCAGACATCATCCTTATACTGGCAATTTGTATTTTTAGCATTTAGTTACCTCACCGAAGGCCTGAAGATGCATAGCAAATTGTAATATGCAAAACCGGTTATGCCGGGGTGAATAAATATATAGTAAGTAAGTCTTTTATTTATATCCTTTTACATAATTTGAAATGAACTCATAAATCTACCAACCCATTTAAAATCTAATCCAACTTTAACTAAATCTTGTATACCTTCATTCCAGGTGACTGCATATCTGAAATACGAACTATACCATGAAGAACTTCTGGATACAGATTTGAGTCCATACTTTCTACCAACAGGAGAACCACTTATGACTATTCCACCATATACGTCGTGACTTAAGACAGCGTTTCCTGGACTAAAAGCTATTGTGATTTGACCAGAGTCATATCCAGGACCGTATTCGTCTTTCACGGGATTTAGAGTTAATACTGAAAACAAAATTATTATTTACAGAACATACATGCGTTTTATAAATAAAAAATATATAAATGAAAAATAAAGGACAACTAAAGAGAAAGTGTATATTTATAGAAATGTAGAATTACTAAGGATTTTTTTCTCCTACAGTTATAACATGAATAGTTTCTGATATATATCCGAGAGTTCGGCTTATTGGACCACCCGGTACATGAATTAATAAAAATTTTATTATACCTACTTGGATATAACCAATCTCCTTTGGGTAATTTAGCCCTGATCTCAATTTTCCCATACTTAAACGAAAATTTCCCTTTTGTTGTTATCTTAGCCGAAACTACTGGTGGTAGAATAAATCCAGCATCGGGTCTTACATGACAATCTAGGGTACCTAATACTCCAGTACAACTAAAACCAATAAATAAAATATTTATTCATTAAGCTTACAAGATATTACATAAATATTTATAAAAATCATACAGCTAAAAGTTTTGTCAGGTCCATTTCAGTTTCAGTGTATTATGTAACAAATGTCATGATAAAAATTTATGCTAGTACTGAGGAAATATCAAAACGTACCAATGTGATACAACTAAAATCGTTTTTGGAAAGTATCAGGTAATATATTCGATTTATTTTAAACCTTGGAATAAATTGGGATTGGACAGACAATAAGCTTATGATACTATAAAACAAATGCTGGCTTTAAGTCTAGTATTAGTCAATTATGCTCTCTCTTCTTAATCTCGTATAGGGATGTGATTATAGTCTTCATCTCTTATAGGAATGTGGTGACGCCATCAAATATTTATAATATTTGTAACACTTATTTTCTTCTCTGTCCTGGGATAGTTGGGTTCTCTGTGAGCGAGTTCTATTGGGAAAAATGTTCTATGTCAAATAAAATGTTTAAAACAAACTAGTTTTTCATTATCAAGTAACCAACTTCCAAACAATTGGAATAACTTTTAAATAAATAAATATTTTTAAATAAAAATGAATGTGTACCTTAAGGAAGACGTATTTTTGGTGTAAATTTTTGTTTTATTTATGCCTATTTTTTATAAAGGTAAAAGAAAACTAAAAAATATATATATTAGAATGGCAGCTAATCTGGAAAGCTCAACGTAGATGGCGCTAGTGTAGTTGGAGGTCTTTTTGTTGGAGGAAGTTTGTCTTTTGCTTTTTTGTACATTGCACACAGGAACTAAAAAAATTATTTGTTCGGCTTTCTTTGGCGATACTTCTAGTCTGCTATTTTTTTGGCATATGCCAAACTTGCTTTCATTTAGTGCAGGTATCTTTTATGTATCATTTATCACGATATTTTAGGTTTAGTAAAGCATTGCAACAACAACATGTTTTCATACTGCTCTGTATTGCTTGCCAACAATAAATTAACATAATGCTTCAGTAATACTTTCATCCATGGAGAGGACCAGTTTTACATTATATGTAAGTGCTTTGGCCATTTCACTGTTGACTTGCGCTCGGTTAAAATAAAATTCATCTGTTTTTTATTGACTAATAGCTAACAGAAAATTATTTTGTATCATACTGTGGTTTTTTCTTTGGACTGCGACACACATGCAAATTACTTCTGGTAACTTATAAATATATAGAAAATAGTTATTTATTGTCGACGAAATCTATCAGACGAATTTCTGAAGAGTAGTGAAATCCACATCAGTGACCATACAAAGCCATGTCGAAAATTATTATTTCGATCATATACAGCCGAACCTATAATTTAATATAGAATACCTAATCAGTTTCTGGACAGGTAAAGCAATGAACTTCTGGCAGCGACACAATATCTTTCATACATATATCAAAAGTGATGATTTATAATGCGTTTTATTTTAAGGCAGCACAAAACTGTATTAACCAATGAAACATTAAGACTAGATAAACGCTTAGGTCAAACCGCTGCGTGTGTTATTGGCCTTAATCTTATTCATCAGATTGCAATTGTAGAAAAACTCTCTGAAGTAATTTAAGCACATAAAATAAAAGTTGGCATTGTATAAAATGTTAATTCTTTTCTTAAATTTAGTATCCTTGTTAATTTACTTACCCGGCTCCTAAGTCTAGGGGCTCTTCAACAAAATTGGGCCCATAAATATTGTCCATCAATGCTGGTTTAATAACTAAGGCTTTGTCTTGTATAAAGGCTATATCGGATCTGGGAGTGTATAATACGAATTCGTAATCCTAAAACTCATTCTTGTAAGAACAGATATTTGAATTCAAAAAGTTGTTTGACAGAAGAAGAAGATATTTTGATATTTTTATAAATAGTTTCAAATATATACTTACTGGCAGTCCAGCAAATTTATTTTCGAAAGTCCAAGAGGTGCTTTTAATTTTTGTATTAAATGATTCAGAAAATATAAGTTTTCCTTTGCATGTATTTTGTCCATTATTAATAACAGTTATAGTTGGATCGCAAATATTGCCAGTAGAACCTGGTGTTGGACTGGGTGTTGTAGTAGTTGTCGTTGTAGTCGTTGTAGTCGTTGTTGTCGTAGGTTCAGTGATGACACTAGGTCTGCTTTCGCCGGTGTCTTTGTTTTTATCTTTACCTGGTGGTTTTTTAATCAAGTCTAAAATATAACCAATGCACAGTATTTTATTTATTAAATATTGTAAAAGAGGATAAAAAACATAAAAAAAGAAAATATGAGCAAGAAAGTTTTATTTATGTTTTCAATTATTAAATTTCTGTCAAAAAAATTTAATTATCTTTTTTTGCACAATTTTTTAATAGGTACCTATATATACTTCATCTAATTTACATACCGATGCACGCCAATATCTACGTCAGAGATCGAAGTTGACATAGTTGCCAAAGTATAAAAAAATCCGGACTCCATTTTAAATCAAATAAATCACATAATTATTGCGTAAGTATTATCATCTCTACAACGACTATTTAAATTATTACGTGACACCTTTGAAATAAAACACACTAATTTTGTTCTAAAAAGAACTGATTTTATTAAATAGGTAAAAATATAAAACAAGAGATATTGACTTTAAAATACAAAATAATAAAGTACAAAAAGTGTCAACACCGCAACTGTCAAATAAGTGTTACCAATTTATGCCAAAATTTCACCTTCGTTCGATTATAGTTACAGTGTGTTCCGAACAAATGTTCTTCATAAAAACGCTTTATAATACATTTATACAAATTAAATGAAACATATTATTGTGTATTTCTTTAAGTTAACATAAATAGAAATTTTTAAATATTATTTCTACGCGTATATAATAAAATATGTCTAGTGGCTGTAATGCCAGTGTACTCGGCAAAGTGATTCTAACAAAGAACACACCAGAGCCAAGGATTTTTCTTTTATTTGTTTTTGGGAATTGCTTACACAACGAAAAAAAAATTACATTTTGAATTTGCCCATTTGCCGTCTGTTCCATCAGAGGTCCAGAGCTCTCCCCGACTACTCTCGGACCACTTCCGGATACCAGCCCGAAAGACCTCCCTTATTTAGAGGGTGGAACATTGTTAATTTTTATATTGTTTATTCATTAATTTATTAATTTTGTTTATAATTTTTTTTCTCAATCATAAAATCTTAATAGTTCATTTAATAATAAAGACCCGTCATTTTTTCTAAATAATTATAAATTACTTAAGTGTTAAAATTGTCAAGTCCAGGTCGAGGTTTTAAATCCTCCCTTTTAACTCGGTTGTACGGTTTTGTGTGTACACATTTAATCACAGAGTTATTTTTTTTAAGATTTTATTATTATTATATATTTAAACGTTTGGATATTTATCTCGTCAAGATAGTGTCCTTATTACTTGTTACAATATTCAACTGAAAGCCAAAGTACAGAGTTGCATCTCTGAGGCAAGTAAATTACCTTTTTAGGTCAATCATCACCATTTTTCTTATATTTTATAATTTATAAATTTAGATCATCAAGGATCAGTTGTGTATAACCAGGGCATTTCTTTTTTTGTATATAAGTAACTAGATTAACTGTACATAATTGGTGGTGGGTATTTTAGGGTAAATTAAGATTGTATATATTGATAGAGATTAAATTTTTGGTGAAAATTAAATATTTCAATTCATACCTATATCCTTTTTTTATTTCAGCAAATACAAGATACCTTGGAAAGTTTATGTTAATACTTTCCTGGCGCCCACTCAAATTTAGGAGCAACTTCTATAATCACTTTTATTTATCTAAGTTATATATCTATAGATTGTTTATTACCTTGTCATTCATTTTCTTATTCTACGGTCTCTGTAGGGCATGCAAATTGGCCGAATCCTCCTTTGAGTGTCAAGTAGTCACTCTCCGGCAACTTCTGCTAGCCAGCTTTAAATTATATATTATCTATTTCCATTACCCCAAATACTTGTGTTACATTACAGAGATACACTCTTCTTACATTGACATCCTAAACCTTTCATTCCTCACACATTTTTTGTTACATTGGCGCTCAGCCCATTTTTGTTACAACTAGGGGTTGGCATCTTCTGAAGATGTACTGCTTAGCTTGTAAGCTGAAACTGACACAAAGTAACATCTCCAGAACAGCCCGAACAACCAGCCTAACAAGTTAGACGGTGGCCGTGAAAACCTAACGCATTTTATCATATTTCATTTATGATCTCTATTCTATACCTAAGCTCATTATATTCTCATATACTTATACAATATAAACCATAACAATCTGCAATAAATGTAACAATTAATGTAATATTAAGAAAATCAGTCTAAAGTAAAATCTCAAATTATCAATCTCCATCGTCTATGAAAGTTCGTAAACGATATTCAAATTGACTGAGCAAATGACTGACTCAAATTTATTAATATTTGTAAGTCAATATTATTAAAAGCTTTTCTTATTCTAAAAAAATCAACAAGGAAAATAATTTCTGCAGCTGGCTGTATACCACGTATCACAAAAAAAGAGGTTAAATCTTTGTAAATGGGTATATTTAACAAACTCTTAAAAGGACTACATCAAATTAACATGAACGTTTTCGGAATAATTATTTCATCGTCAGGTTAAAAATGCCTAAAATAAGTATAAACCATTTAATTAAAGCAAACGTGCTTTAAAATTTTGACTAAATTTAAAAAAAAGCAAAATTATTATACTTACAGGTTAACATGACTGAGCCACCAAAATATTAGGGTAAAAACACTTTAAAATAAATAAGGTTACCAAAGATTGTACATATTCTTGTTAATAGTATTTGATGTTTAATATTTAATTATATTTTACTTCAGGTAACATACACCCATGCCTTACGTGAGTTCCAGCATCCGGAGAGTAAACCTCTTCAAACGGACTTCAGCTGGTAACTGATTGACAAGATACCTATGAACGGTGTCGAAAACAAAATGTCAATGTACCATGAAACAGTATTAGTTATACATAGTATTACTACAGCCAAAAGATTCAAAAACTTTGGTGATGTTAAAAATGATAACAGCAATCCAGGTGTTGGGATTTAAAAATTTTCATAATTATTTAATTTTGGATATAAAAGATGTAAAATTACCGATAGTCATGTTTAAGAAAATGACGTATGCAGCCTATGTTACTCTTTGTCGTATGGAGTGTGGTCTAAAAAGTGTGATAAAAAAATGTTAATATAAGTGAGTCTAATAAATTGAATAAGGGTTAGAAATCTTCCGACTGAAGAAATTAAAGTTATAACCTATGGAATTAAATTTAAAGTTTAATTGATTGGTGTAGCCCTTTAAAGGGTTTTTTAAATATACATATATCATTTACAAATATTTAACCCTTTTTTTTCTTTTTTTTTTCTCTTATTCTATTTTTCATATCATTTGACGTTGTTGAAGGCTTCTGCTATTCAAGGTTCTTTATATAGCCCACATGAAAAAATCAATTTTTGACAAATATGGTGATCGCGGTGGCCATACCAGCCATACCAGTTGTTTAGAGCAGCAAGTTCTAAAATAAAAATAGCCATTATGATTGCCAAACTCCATAGGGAGACGGCACTCTAAGAAGAAGAAGGTGTCACATAGTTCCTAACAATTAGCCTAAAAACTTAAATTGTGTCTTATTTACAAAAAATAGTAATATCATATTGGGATTATAACTAAAATGTAAATGTAAGCATATTTATAGGGTGGCCTGTTTAAAACATTGGATATTTGCTTTACCAGGTAGTTATTAATCACTCTGAAGGATTCGCCATATTTTCCATTGCCTACATTTTTTTAAACACCGTTGGATATTCTGTACCATAATCTTAAATTAAAAATAATAAAAACTTATCTTGTAAATATAAACTGAAAGAAATCTACTTACTTGTAACTGTAAACACTTGGTCGTCTTTAGGATAACCTCTTTTTTCATATCCGTCAAATAATTCCACATATGTCCAATAATATATCTTATCGCCCACTCTTAACCTTGTTGATCTGTCACTAAATGTCCACATACCATTAACAGGTCGAAGGATATCTTTCGAAAAAAATCCTGCTTCTCTGCCGTCCATTTCCTGATTAATCCTACCATGAAAAGCGAACAGTTTGATTCCATCTTCATCTGAAACGTAGAATTATACATGTAATAGGGTAATATAACTACTGTAAAGCAGAAAATATAACGATAGAAAAACGTCCCGTGATGAGGAGACCAATGCAGATCAATTGATTTGTTTTGAGCCTCAAGTTCAAAAATAAAATAGCCCTGACGATTGATAACCTTCGTAGGAAAACGACACTTTAAGAAGAAAAACATAAAAATTTTAACTTTTGTTTAAGAAGAATATACACCCAAAAAAATCCACCCTGATATTTGGCAATACTCGTTTTATGAAAATTAACACAATCTCAAAATTTTGTTAATTTTCATAAGGGTTTCCTAGACCCAGCGCCCCGACTTGTGCTTCTTTGTAGTGCGACTTGACTAAAGGCTTATTATAAATTTTTGTTACCTAGGATTCCATACTGATACCCATCATCATCATCATCTTGGTGCTACAGCCCTTGGAGGGCCTCGACCTTCTCAAGCATTCTACGCCATTCTGTTCTGTCCCTTGCTTGCATTTTCCAGTTACCGACTCCGATCTTCTCCGCATCTTGTGTTATACATAACTGATATAACACAAGTCCACATACATACCATACTGATATCCGTCTTTTCTTTATTAGTTCAGTCTTCAGATTTTACCCCTAAAAATCATGCGAACAAGCTGAAGTTTGCTGATAATATCAATTTTATGTACCCAAAAAATGTTCAAAAAAGTTTATAACTTTTACCTCCAGGTTTCCCCCTAAAATCCACCCCTTAGGGGGGTAAAAATTCGATTCGTAAAAATCGATTTACCAATAATGTGTACTTCGTAAAATAAATATTTTAAATAAAAAATGTAGCTGAGATAATTTGAAACAAAAATGTTTGTAAATATTGCTGCTCTCAAATGGTATGACAATAAGTCCGTCATATTAGCATCGAACTATATAGGAAAATATTCTCTTGATAAAGTGAAGAGATGGTGGAACAAAAGCAAAACCTATGTAGAAATTGAACGGCCAGCAATTGTCATAGAATATAATATTTCGATGGAGAGTGTGGATTTGCATAAAATGCTTGTGGAACTATATAAAATCAAAATCAAACCAAAAAGTTTCTATTTAAGAATCATATTAATACTATTGATACATGTATTATCAACTCCTGATTGCTGTACCGAAGACACTGCAAACAAAAACAAGTGAAACACATCACCCTTCTCCAATTCAAATCTCAAGTTGGATATGCGTTACTGAAAGCTGGAAAGTCCAACACGAGAAAACGAGGACGTCCTTCTTAAGAGAATACACCAAATAAGAGATAAGTAATGCATCCCTCAGCAGTGCAAGATGGTGGATTTGATGGCGTAAGACATTGGCCACTACATGATAAAAATCGCACAAGGTGCAAATTATGTATAAAGTCTTACTCTAGAATAAAATATTTTAAGTACAATATTTTTTATTTAAACAATGATAAAAATTATTTTTATATTTTCTATGTACTCATGTACAAAATTAAATTGTTAATAGTATAAATGCAATAATAAACGTATTTACTATTATAGTCAATTTTTTACCAGACCACTATATCAAATGTTATAATTGGATCATTCAGGTACCACCAACGCCATATGATTCCAAATGGGATCATTTTTTTTTGAGTTTGAAGACTCTAGGATGCAAAATTTTGAGAAAAGTTATTAACAATTTTTTTCTTGTATCGTTTCCTATAACATATATTTTTTCAACAAAATTTATTGAAAGAAAAAAATAATTTGGGCTGGAAAGGATTAAAAACAAACAAGCATCTTACAGAAAACCGGGTTTAATGAAAGCGGATAGGTAAAAAAAACTAAATAACGTTAATATTCAATAAAGACTAGTAATAAACATGTGTCTAATATTGTAAATAAACTTTTTTTTACCTGGAATTGATACTGAAAATCCCTTAGGGTGATATGCTTCCACTGTAGCTTCTGGCACTTCATATTGGGCGAAAACGAAAGCAACATGGCAAAAAATTAAAATAAAATAATACATTATTTATGGCTTTGTTGTGCTAGACTAAGTAACTGCATTAAATAAATATCACAAACCGAAACACAGACTGATCACAATATTAAGAGATGTTCACCATATAATAATTTTCTTCTACCTGACAAAGAATGCGAAACTGGTTTGTATTCAAACGGTAAAACTGTTTAATTACAAATTTAATATCAAAACAAGTTTCAATTGATAGTTAAGTATCAAAATTTTCAACAATTTGTCGTCATCGTAAATGAGTTTTATAATTAACGAAGCGATAAGTTTAAAATAGCTAGTAAGTTGGAAATTTTTTAAATTAAAATTGAATACGTGATATCTAAAAGGATAACATTCAATTTTTTGCCAAATTGATTTAAGAAAGCAGTTTTGTTTACTTTACCAAGCTCTACAAACTTAGTCAAAGACAGATAACATTCCATCACATTAAATGGCTCATAGCTAGTTTTCCTGAAATGAAATCTAAAAGGATAACATTCTTGAAATGTTATTTCTTTTGACCTCAACGAAATTATTTTCATCATTGACATATAAAAGGATAATTTTCCAGTTTTATATATTCTTGATTCTTTTTTGTTTTCTATTTTCTACTCTTTTTTTACTTTTCACTTGTCACTTGACCATATTAACTTCTCTCCAAAATCATATTGTGACAGAGTGTTTGTCATTATATCAGCTTTTATGGTTATGTTTTGTATTGTATGTTGTGTAAAGTGAGTTTAGTGTGTTATAATAATTAGATAATTAGATAAAGAAGAGGTAGTAAAGGGACAAAATTAAAAGAAAAGAAAGCAAAAAAAAATCAGAATTTGTCACTTCCAAAGGTGTTTTGGTTAACCCATTTTCTACCAGAATATCAATAAATATATTTTTTTATAAATATAACTGCAGATGACAATGGAATGAAACTAAATAAACGTAAAAATATGTTTTTATTAATTTTTTGTTATAAACATAAGAAAAAAACGCTGTGACCATATGGTCACACAGGGAGGTTACCTATATATACATTATGTATTTACTACTGTGTATGAAAAATTTCAAAACACTCAATGCAAAGTCTTAAATTACATTTTTTACATTGTGTACGTATCACAGAAGAACATCCTTCTCCTGCACACCTACGTCTTTTACCGTTAGGAACTGGAACAACAAGATGGTCTGACAGGAACTGGATGGACAAACTATTCTTGCTGACTGAAGGCTTACCAGGACGTCTAGGCGGTACTCCATATTTCCGCATATACATCTGTGCAATTTCTCGGCGGAAAACTATATTTGGTGTTTTTTTTTTCTTTCCTTTGAGGACTTCTTATAAAGCACCCACGCGTTATGTAGGCATACGTCAACAAGCTAAGTAAAAAGAGGCCAATACCACTTTTTACTTCTGCCACCCATGAATGTATTATATTTTGCAATAATCAAAGTCCTTTGTACTTTAATAATTTTCTTCTGTTTTTTAGAGTATCTCTTGACGTAACTTTGAGGATTGATACCGTAGCAAGTTGATGCAGCCGTAGCTACAGCATTATCCATCCACTTGACCAATATAAATCCGTCATTTTTAGATATAACATAATCAACAGAACCTCTAGTTTTAGCCATTACTTTGTTATCCGGCAAAGGGCAACACTTAGGAACTCTATTTTGTCTTATTGTTACAGTACAGTCATATCCCCTTAGTTTTAATTCTGCAAGCAAATTAAAACTCATAAATAGATTATCGGTATAAATATGGTAATTTGGCATCTTATTTGGTAGATCGTCAAGCATTTGAAGTAAAGGAGCTGTTGCACTTTCAAATTTTTCTACATAACTGTTATCAGTTGAAATCTGTTTTACTTTGATATAACTGAAAATGAATCAAATAACTCTCTTCAGAATTCAAACACCAAGCTTTATAGCCAAAGCGTATTGGCTTGCCTTTGATAAACTGTTTACAGCTATGTTTCCCAAAATACTTGATCATTGATTCATCATAATTCATGTGCTGGTTGGTTGAAAGTACTTAAGACATTTCATTTGCACCTTTTCTATAATGAGACGTAGTTTCCACATTTTATTAGTCCTTCCAATTTTGCTGTTATTGGCAAAATGAATACATTTCATGATTTGATCAAATCTATTCCTGCGCATAGATTTTTTCACCATTTGTACTGCCATGTTATCCTGTTGATCCCAATAATATGTTCTGCCCGGTAAGGGATGGTAGCCGGATAAAATTAAAATTCCGAAAAAAACATTTTAATTCATCAATGGACAGATTTGGATCTGGAAAATTTTTGAACGCAGCATATTTTTTTGTTTCTTGTAAAATATGTTCAAACATATCGTTGTCAAAATATAGTTTGAATAGTTGTAATGGACTCATGTCATAAAATTCATAACTTTCAGATTTATTCTCGTTTTTAAATTTTTTATTATGTATCAAATCTCCCTCTATCCATTGCTTGATCTCAGTTTTTTTAGAAATTCTACATTTTTATTTTTTCCCTCGTTTATCTGACTCACCTGTTCATCAGATTTTGTTGTCTTTATTTCATCCACAGAGTCTTCCTCTTCTTGTTCCATATTTTCGTTACGATTTATTCGAACTTCAGCTGGCGCTAATAACTGTCTATGAGACAAATTGTCAACTAACAAACCATCGTCTTCGTCTCCGGAATCTTCATCCGTATCCTCATGATCATCTGGAGGACAAATAAACACCGATGTTTCATCATTTTCTATTTTTTCGTCATCATATAACATGGTCAATGCTTCTTGTAATGTAAAACCACGTCAAAAAGAAAAAAACCTATTAATTAATACATATTATCCCTTTGTGACGTTATGGTCACAAACAAATATTAGAAGCTCTACCGCATTTGATACAATACTTTTGTGATAAATTATATAAACATGTGTTAAACACATATCTCTAGATCCTACTTGTTCAAAAATATTTTTGTTTTCTTTAAAAATAAGATTAAAAAATATTACTTACTCAAAGCGAACGTCCATTTTGATGCTTTCTCGTTGTAACAGCAACAAACATTAATTATAACACGACTTTGCCAGCGAATTGACCAGTACCGGGTATGTCATTCGTTACATAGATATCTTTAGTCCGCGTGGTCGTATTACTAGTTGCATATATCGCTGTATGTGTTAAATATTATATATTTAAAAGGGCCATTTAGTGTGACCATACGGTTACGCTAGCAGAAAACGGGTTAAAGAAAGGAAGACTGTGCCTCACTGTTTATGTGAGAAACAATGCACAGATTTATTTTCCCCTGAAGAGAAAGCAGGTATTGTTAAACTTTTATACAATGATTAACCTAATAATGAGTCAGACACTTTTTGATGGACCCTATTAACAGATCCGATGTGACTCAACACATGCCTAAAAACGAAGTCTCTAAGCAAATACAATCATCTCTTTATTTTTATTACGAAACAACACTTGTAGAAATGCATTTTTAAGTTTATATTCAATGAGTATCTAATAAAGCATTACAACGTCTTAGTAACTTAAAAAATAAAGGCAAGATTCCATATGATAAAAGGGGGTTTCATGAAAATTACTTCAGAAAATTGAATGATATTGTTAAAAAAATTTAAGATCACATTGAATCATACCAAAAGAAAACATCTCATTATTCATCAAAGACAGTTTTTATACGGGTCTCCCAATAAAATATCCTCATGTTTTTTCAAACGAAAACGGTAAAAATTGCTGTAAATAAAAAAAATGAAGTTAATGCAAAATATAATAAGATAAAAATTATGTTCCGAATAACACATCATTCAAATGTCTACCACGACTACGTTTGCAGGAGCAAATCCGATGGACTCAATTTTCGATCACTTTATGCAAAATATCCGCAATAACCTCACGAATGGTGTGCTCTATGGTTCTCTTCAAGTCTTCAATGCATTGTAATTTGTTAACATAGACCAATGACTTATCATAGCCCCATTAAAAATAATCCAACGGTGATA